CAGTAAGTAGAATTTTCTTTAAATATTTAATATTTAGAAAAGTATTATTTTTTTTTATTAAAATAATAAATACAGTTTTTTATTTTAACTAAGTGAAAAAAAATAATTTTTAAAAAGACGTTATAACGCTCTGTCTTAAGATAAGATTTTTTATAAATACCTAATATAACGGTTAATAAAAAATAAATATTATATAAAAAAAAAAAAAAATATTAATAAAAAAATAGGGAGGAATAAATATTTATATTAAATAAAGTAAAGTCTTAAGGATAAAATTAATAAAAAGGGGATATTATATTATAACCCAGTTTTTATAGTTATAATAAGGGGCCTATTAGGTAGGCGTCCTTAGATAAAAGACAGTCCGTTAAACTAATTAGAAGCGGATTAAAAATTAATTTCTTAATTTAATATAGGATTAATAAATTAAAAAGTAATCCCCAGATGGATTAATAAAAGTCTTTTTAATTTAGCCTAGGTTAACTAGATATATAAGTTTACGTTTTTATATTTATTTAAATAGTTTAAATAGCTAGTTATTAATATAATAATTAAATTAGATTTAGATACTATATTTACTAGCTATGTGATATTAATAAAATAACGTTTATAACTGACTTAACTGCTCCGCTAATATAAACCTAAAACCTAAAGGTTTGTCCTTTGGAAACAGCTAACCTATACCAACATATAGGACCCAGTTCGTCACATTATAGTATATATCCCTTAAGTTAAAATACTATAAAATAAACTTTCTTCTTAAAGGTATTAAAAATATTTTTAAAATCTTTAAAGTAAACTTTAAGTTAAATTAAATATCCCTTAAGTTTTTTAATATTTTTATTATATATAGGCAATAGTTAACGCTTAATAAGGATTTTAATATTCTTTTTAATTAATTGTTTTTTATTTTTATTAACCTTATTAATAAAGGTTTTATTAAGTTAAAATATATTTTAAAAGACTATAATAATTTAATCTTTAATTAAGTTTCCTTAATCTAAGGTATTTTCTATAATAATATTTCTTTTTTTATTAAATCTAAATGTATTAAAATTAATAATTAAGGTATTACTAAATAAAAATCTAAATATAATAGTTTTATTATTTAAAAAATAATTAGTATTTTTTTAAATAAAAGTTATTAATATATAATATTTTAATCTTTATTTTTAATATAGGGTAAAAGTTCCTAAAGTAATAAACCTAAGTTATAGATTTATATTAATAAAAAGAATAAAAAGTAGCTTTTAAGCAGTTATAATTATAAATATATAAAAGTAAAATAAAAAGTTAAATTTATATTTAATTTTAATACTTTATTAACAACTAATTATTTAACTATTTAAAAGATTATAATAAAGTAAACTTATATATTTAGTTATTTTTTTATTCTTACTTAAGCTTATATTATTATATTTGTAAAAATAAAGCTATTTTTACAATCTTTATAGTATATACCTACGTAAAAGAGGGAGAACTAAACTTTTATTAATTGTACTTACCTATAGTTTTACTATAGTATATACTTCCATTAGTTCAGGCCATAATAATATCTAATTTAATATATAATATTTAATTTTATATATTCATTTAAAATAGTTAAATAATTAATTATAAATATAATATTTAAATTAAATTTATTAAATATTTTTTATTAATTATATAATTATTTACATTACTTAAATAATTAATTTAACTTACTTACTAATATAAACTAAAATTTAAGTTTATGTTTTAAAAATCTTAACTTATATTAACTTATAGGTTTATAGTTTATTTTAAGTCCTATGATTTTAGCTATTTAGGGACTTATTCTGTAGGGTTAGTTAACCTGCTGCCCCAGTAGAAACTGCATTGTGATTTATAAAGCGAATACAATTACAAAGGAACTATGCAACAGTTTATCGGCGCACCTTGTTCTAACCAGTTATATACATATAGAAGCATATATTGTTGTTATTAGCAGATTATACAGACTGGATTACTAAAGGGACTTATGGGTGTATGTATTAGCTTGTTCTGTTACAAGCAGGGAATAAATGTCTCCAATCAGCTAAAACAATAACATGTAGGCCATATACCTGGAAATTGCCTTTTTATTAAAGTAATAGTGTGAAAACTGTAGATCTGTTAGCGCTGTTGGGTTAGGTTTTGGTAAGTCAGATTTGTAGTTACGCCTGGGGGTTATTAGGACGCAGTGATTTTTTTAAACTATTTTATAAATTTTAACCTTAACTATATACTTTTAGTTTAAAAAACGCTTTATAACATAAAATGGTAGGTTATAATATCTGTAGCTTTGTTTAATTTTACTAACTTTCTGTGTAAGTGTATTTTCTATAATTAATTATAATATCTCTCAGATACTATATGTAGCAATTCCATCGGTACACTTCATATTTGTGCTGCAAAGTAGTATTCACAGCTTTCTATAGCCTCCCATCCGCTGATAAAGAAATGTGGTCTCCAAATATCAGTCCGAGCTTGAATACACTTGGAAATGAGCTCCAGTGACGAACGGATCTGAACGCGGATCATACTGCTCGACGCCTTCAATAGGTGCATATTTGTGAATGAGGTAACACATGTTATTATAGGCTCTGTAAAAAATTATAAGCAAGTCGTCATGGCCCCACGTAGACACACGATAGCAGTTGGGATGAAGTTGGAAAGAAGAGTCAGCTTACGTCTTTCTTCGGATACTTCCAGGCCGCATAGCTGAGTAATTGATAGCAACTTTGATGCTGTACAGTCTGTTCCTGTCATCAAATTCCTCGACAGGCTCCGCCGCTGGAAAGCGCCTCAGATAGTGAGCCATATAGGTCTTTGAGCGAAAGAAGGTGTTCCTAGACATGGTCTTTATAAGCAAGCTGCGCATCCATCGTAGCAATTGGAGCATCTGAGGGGAGTGGAACAACGCACAATTCACTTCTCCAGTTTCCGAACTCCATCTCGTTGTGCGCAAAATAGGAGCTGGCGTCATACACAACGCTCTCGCCCGTCTCCATGTCGATGCCTCGGTTTCCCTCCCACAAGTCGCCATGGATCAGGCACGGCTTTACAGGCTCATCACTACCACTCTGGCGCAGATTGCCCAGCAGCTGCGGAATCACGGCGTCACCCATCTGGCGGACAGCGAGTTCGAGTTCGGGCCAAGGCTCATTTACTTCAGCGTCGAGGCTGCAGGCATGCAGGAAGAGATTGCGGAAGAAGTCGACCCATTTGCTCTCCCAGGTGACATGGTGCGGAATGTTGCCGTCGTATGTTGTGACAGGGAAGCCGAATTTGCCAGTAGGTGACTGGCTGTTCTTGTGCAGCTCGGCGAGTTTGCCCATCAGGTCTTCAGGGTCGGGCGCAGTTGTCACGTCCATGTCGATGAACTGGGAGAGGTAGAAGTAGGTGTCTGGGCTTTGAACTTTATAACGTCCATAGCCATATGGTGTGGGGATGAAGTCAGGCATGACGCTATAAATCATTTTGGACGATACGTGCTCGCCTCCAAGCATCAGACGACCATGCTCTCCGTAAGCAACCTAGACGCAAAGACATTTCAGAGTCAGTTGCACGACGCAAAGTAGTTTAGCAGTGAATGCTAGGAGATGGAGATTTCATGGTCCTGACTCGGTTCGGCTTTCATACCTTAAGAAAGAAGCGCTGGATGGACCCGTCGGTTCTCTGAGCCGTCACTCTCCCAGTCACGGTCCACGCACTGGTGCCGAAACTCTCGACTGAGGTGAAGGTGACATCTTTGGGTAAGGCTGAATGTGAGAAGGTGTTAGCGATGGCTTGTGTACTATAACAGCACTCAGTGGGAAATATAATTGTGTTCGTACCCTCGATGACTGCCTCATCAAAAGGGAATACTCCGTCGAGCTGGGACAGGATATTCTGAATCAACGGGGCTTGTATAATCCCCTCGGTTCGATTTTGTAGGCCAGACTTGCGAATCAAAGAGTATGTGAGCAATGGATTGTCCGAACGGGCTGATGGCAGAAGTGGATTGTCGCGGAGTTTACCTCGACTTCATCTTGGTCCAACACGGCGCGCTCAGCAAGTCCCAAGTCCTGCGCGGCATTGGGCTGTTCCACGATGGAGGGCGCCATTCTATCAGTTGACACAAAGATCCAAGATGGCTTGGGGTTCTTCCAAGACCGATAAGAGAGGACTTGGCCCAGGGCAATTAATTCCGCGGGACATGCCTACCATCTAAATCCTCGTGGTGCAGTGCGCGTCGTTTGTCAGATTGCCGGGGTGTTATCATGTCGACCCCGCCCAGGCTATGAGTACATGTATGGGTGGGAATGAGGGGCTGAGGAAGATGGTGATGTGCTATACGATATGAGTGGCCCAACCGTGTGATTGACGCTGCGCAGGGATCCTATTTTGTTCTCGGAGTCGGGCAAACTACAGTTGCACGTCTCACACTGACTGTTCCGGCATAGTACAGCAGTGCGCATCCTCAGCCTCATATTCAGACCAGTCAGGGAGCATTATAATGGCGCACCCGCTGGCAAGAAGCGGCCATATGTAGCTTTGCAGAACTGCAACCATCCCTCTATGAGACTAACACACCACGACATGCCATGTACCACCTGGGCGGCACCACAGAAGCTCAATATGGACAGTAGCATCAGGCTGCCTCGTGGTCCCCAGTTTTTTAAATCGTGTTGCGATCTCCCGCAGGCTCTGGGCAAGCGACAACTCGATGCGGTCGTGACGCAAGAGATTCGAGTCGAAACTTGGTGATAGTCTGACACCATGGTTCGTATTCCCTCTTCTACTACTCCAGTCTACTCTATTAGGCACGCCAGTACTAACTAGCATCCGGGATCACAATATAGTTTCGCAAGCCGTTTGCATTCCCGAGACGACACCGGGATGAGGCGATCGAGGCCGACCCCAACAGCAGTGACGATGAAAATACCCGGCCGTTGGCTCTCGAAATAACCCAGTCATCGACAGCGTCCTCAATAGCCGATCGTTCAGTGAAAGATCCTCTGGGCCTCAAAGTGGTGTATCGGCCGCCAAAAGAGCGCAAGGTGGACATCATATTTGTTCATGGTCTTGGCGGGAGCAGTCGCATGACATGGACGAAAGACCACAACCTCGACAACTTCTGGCCCCTCAAGTTCCTGCCTCATGAGCCCGAGATAGGAGATGCCCGGATCATGACGTTTGGATACAACGCCAAGTTCAAGCCGGGAAGCAGTGGGTCAAGTACCATATCTGTGCTGGACTTTGCCAAGGAGTTGCTCTACGACCTCAAATATGCGACCGATGAGTCGTCGCCGGAACTAGAGGATCTTAGGCTGGGACACAAACCGATCATATTCCTGGCTCACTCGATGGGCGGACTCATCGTAAAGGAGGCATACATGCAGGGCAAAGATGACCCCGAGTACGCGGCTATCATCAAGGCCATCTCATCTATCATCTTCCTGTCGACACCACATCGTGGAACAAACCTAGCTGAGACGCTAAACCGCATTCTTAGGGTCTCATTAGTCGCCAAGCCGATGCAGTTCATCTCCGAGCTCACATCGGGCTCACAGACGTTGCAGAAGCTGAACGAGTCGTTCCGGCACGTCGCTGAGAAGCTGCAGATTATTTCGTTTTATGAGACTCGCCCGACGCCAATAATCAAAAGCGCTACCAGTATCATGGTCTTAGAGAAGGAATCCTCGGTGCTCGGGTACCCTGGCGAGATATCGAAGCCACTGGATGCGGACCATAACGGAGTCTGCAAGTATGATGGCCCAGACGATCCGCGCTACATCACCATCAGGAATGCGCTAAAGAGTTTGGTTGCCAAGTCCAATCATAAAGGTGCGTTTCGTAATACATGTCTTCGTCTTTGCATCACCAGAATGCTAATGTATCTGATGTAGAGGGTAGAGAACACACGGCTCGTCACGCGAGCTCCGATAGCAGCAGCAGCAGCAGCAGCAGCAGCAGTTTCAATGCTTCAGACCGCTACCACTACCGAGGAGGATCAAGACGGGCTTCGACGAAGGAAGGTAAGCTAAGCAGTATTTGCTGAAGATTGAATGAGATGATCAATGGTAACATTTCTTGTGTTGGACGCAGTAGAAGCGACAAATGCACCTGGCACAGCAGAAGCTGCAAAGGAGAATCTCGGGAACTATCTCTCCTCGGCAGAGTCACCAAACCAAGACTTCAACTTCTTCCGTGACCGCTGGACTGTGGGGACCTGCGAATGGATATTCAGCAACCAAGCCTTCACAGCCTGGCTCGAGGACGATCGAATAACCCCCCACGTCCTGTGGCTCCAGGGCAACGCAGCTGGAGGCAAGTCTATCATGTCGTCGTTTATTATCGACAAGCTTGCCCGGGGCGGCCTGCCGTGTTACTATTTCTTTTTCCGCTTCAACGACCAAAAGAAGCGCTCAATAGGTACCCTTCTTCGGTCGCTCGCTGCCCAGATGGCCAACTCGATCCCTGCCTACGCATATAAACTACTGGATGTGGCTTCGGTGACTACCGATCTGAAAGCGGCTGACTTTCGGAGTATCTGGCAATGGTTCTTCAAGGACACTCTGTTTGCTCTGGGAGAGGAAGTCGAAAATCCGATATACTGGGTGATGGATGGGCTGGACGAGGCTGACACGCCTTCGTCACTGATCCGCCTACTAGCCGACATCGATGCAGCCTCTGTCAAGATCCCTCTTCGCGTTCTTATTGTCAGTCGAAAGACTCACGACCTCTCATCTGCCTTTGTGCGCTTGGGCAAACGGATCGACATGGACACTATCTGGATTGAGGGCAACCGACAGGATCTTCTTGCGTACGTTGAGCAAGAAATGGACTTTACCGAGGAAAGCGAGTACCGTGATCAGGTCGTAGCCCAGCTGCTGGAGCGCACGGGAGGAAACTTCTTGTGGTTGCATCTGGCTGTGCACAAGATCAACCAATGCCACACCAAGTTAGACGTGGAACGGGCGCTTGAAGATCTACCGTCAGGTATGCACGAGCTATACGATCGAATGGCTTTGTTGGTGCAGAACCAGCCAAAGGCCAGTGACCGTCGCCTGGGGCAGAGTATTCTCGGCTGGGCTACATGTGCAAGGCGATCTCTCAGCATTGAGGAACTGAAAGATGCCCTGGGAGGAACAAGCGATATGCGCGAGATTGTCGAGATCCATCGGACTGTGGAAGATCTCTGTGGTGGCTTCGTTGTGGTCGATAATGAGGGCAAGATTGCCATGCTCCATGAGACAGCGCGCGAGTATCTTACTGGCTCGACTTTGTATGAGAGCTCTGGACGACGGCCATACGCAATTGATCCGCGACGGACACACGATTTGCTCTTCAAGAGGTGCATAGCTTGTCTCACGGATCCATCGCTGCGGAATCTCATCAATCGCGGCGAGCCACCCGCCCTCCTCAACTACGCCATCAGCTCATGGTATATTCACCTGTCTAAGGGAACATGCATCGACCCCAACCCTGAGATTCTTGATGTCGTGGTTCGATTTCTTCGCAGCCCTCACGTCCTTGTCTGGATGTTCAGCGCAGCGACTCAGAACGAACTGCGGTTCCTCGTCATTGCGTCTCGATATCTGGCTGGCGTGGTGCTTGGCCTGCGACAGCTCCAAGATGAAGGCGAGTCTTTGGCCCAGCGGCAGGCCACGGAAGTCATCGAGGGTTGGGCAACGGACCTGATCAAGATCGTGGGCAAGTTCGGCAAGAACCTGACGCGGGACCCAGACTCAATCTACAGGCGGATTCCGCCGTTCTGCCCGTCGCCATCCATGATCTATCAGCAATTCGGCAAGAAAGAAAGTCGGACGCTGCACGTCTCCGGAGTGGCGACCACAAGATGGGACGACTGCCTAGCGCGCTTTTCCTTCGAGTCCGGAGCTGTGGCCTCGACGGTACTGAACGCTGGAAGCCAGTTAGTGATACTCACGATCGATCGAAGAACCAGCACGATCGCCACTTATAGCGACGCAACGTTTGGGGAGCAGCGGCGCATGCAACACGCCGAACGGGTTCTCATGATACAGGTGAATAAGCTGGGTAATCTGCTCGTGAGCTACGGCTATAAAACGACCAGGATATGGGACATTACGACGGGTGCTTGTATCAAGGTGGCCAGCAACCCAGCCACACTGCCGCGACCTCAGGCCATCACCTTCGTCCAAGACGAAATCCTGATGAGTAGCGAGGACCGCTGTGTTCGTTCTCTGTCCATCAGTGACGAATCTAGTGTTGATTGGAGGCTCAAGTCGCGGGTCGAGGAACAAGGCCAGGTCTTAGACGGCATCATAGCCAACGCTCCCTCCTGCGCGGCCATTAGCCACGATGGGCGTATGGTTGCTTACGGATATCGAGGGCATCCCATCACTGTCTGGGAGATTGACCCCACTGTTTTCTTCAGCGAGATTGTGCTAGACGCAGATGGTGCAATTGACATGTTAGAGGCCTCAAGTATGAGATGGCACCCTCTGCGTTATGAGATCTTCTGCCTGAGTAATCTTGGCATCCTGTTCAAATGGGATCCAGATTATGATCAGGCTGAATTCACGACGCACTCTGGGGCAGACAAGCTCAACATCAACTCCAACGGCTCTCTTGTGGTGACCGGGGACGCGAGGGGTAACATCAAAGTCTATGCCAGTGCAGACCTCTCGCTGCTATGCCACTTGCATTCGCAGGACAACATCGTGAGTTTATCCTTCAGCTCAGACTCGCGGAGGCTGTATGACGTGCGCAGTCTTTATGGAATCGTCTGGGAGCCAAGCACGCTCGTGAGGCTGGCGGAAAAGTCCGAATACCCAGAGAGCAATACGGATCTCGAATTCACGGGCGATAACGAAAGTCTGGCGAAGCTGTCGCTCTATTCCGAACACACTTCAGCTCAATTCGACAGCGTCGTCTCGCTCGCCAGACAACCAGTCGGGTCCCTCTACTGCTACGCTACCGAGGACGGCGTCGCAATGCTAGGAGAGGTTGGGAAGGGTAACGTAGGAGAGTTGGCGCGCTCAGCGAGCTACTTAGCTATGGAGCACATGGTTTGGAGCGAGGATGGGCGACTCGTCGTCTTGAGCGATCTCGGGGGGCGGTTACTATTCAAGCGAGTCACGCGGTCTTCCAATAAATGGAGCATCCAACACGAGCATGATCTCGTCATTCCACCCTTGCAAGGACACATCACACAGCTCGTAGTCCATCCATCCGGAGATCGACTGCTTGCCGCTACGCCGACAACGCTGCACTGCGTCAACCTCAAGACATGGGAAATAAATGCCAAGCCATGTCCCATTAATGTTGAGCCCCAGATCAAATGGGCATGCCATCCCACGATACCTGACTACATTCTCGGATTCTCGAGAACGCGGGTGCGCATCGTGTCTTGGGTAACTCTCGATGAGTTGGGTGTTCGAACATATGAGCTTCCAAGGGCAACGAAGCAGCAAGCGCCAGGGCCAACGACTGCTTCACACGGACTCTTGGCCCGTGCCAATCCCCTCAAGTCGGATCGAGATAAGCTTGGCCGGCTGATCTCGGGCCAAGGCTTTCCTCAGATTCTTTTCGAAACACATCTGGCCGGATCAGGGGAGTCGACCCGCGAATTCCTCGTCTTCGAGGCAGCGGACATCACTCCAAGCCCGGACGACGCAACGACGGGGCTTTCGTATACCACCTTACCAGAACATGTCGCCTCACGCATACGGGAGCCTCTCGCCTTCCTCCCGCGGGGCAAACTTGCCTACCTCGACATCGATAGGTGGATTTGCACGTTCCGCTTGTCTATGAGACCGACTCCCGGCCGGCGAGTTGGATCAATATTATCATCTTCATCATTCCAATCCAGCGGTCCAACCGACTCACAATCCGGCCGTCGACTCTCAGAAACGCTGTCTCGTAGGCGCGGGAGCCTGCAGATAACCGGTACAGCTACGGAGAAAGTTGTAGCGGCAAGACGGCATGGGTCGGAATCTGCTGCACTGGGCAACACCAGCGGCATAGAGAGGCATTATTTCTTACCTGGAGATTGGGCCACGGCGAATGAGGCGTATCTCTGCGCTATGACGCCGGATGGGACTCTGCTATGTCCGCAGAACGGGGGTATCGCATCAGTTCAATCAGCGACACTGCGCAAGTAGAATATGCATGACATTGATGCATATTCTATTGTACTCTGCAAACAGAATAAGCTGTATATAACTTTGAACTTTGGGGACGGTAGGTGTGACACAATAGATATATGGAGAATGGGCATGAATTGCTAACCAGAGTTCCAAGTGAGGGCAATGCTCTATAATGGGGAGTAAATGATCCCTGCCACATGCCGTGCACAATGGTGCACGTGACAGCAAGACTGCCATCACCCCAAGACCGCAACGCATAGAAAAGACTTACTTGCGATAAAAGTATACTACATTGATCTTCGGGAAGCGATGCGTTGTATTAAGAAGTCTATACCCTAGACTTGCTCTAGACAGCACTTTGATTGGAGGAATCTACGGGCCAGCGACGGGAAGTCTAATTGGTCCGGGAATAGGGTGTGTAAGGGAATGATACCAAGAACAGATAGCTTAATAACACAGACAAGTCAATACAGCGTATATTTTCATTTAGCCATAATAAGTCTCGTCTCTGCAGGGACAAGCGCCTCGCGTCTAGATCAAACAATCCCTTACAATTCGGATCGTAGCGTGGCCAACAAATTGGGAATCGAGAAATTACGACATCTGGCATTGCGATGAGGTGTAAGATCTCGATGTATCGACAAAATCCTAATACAGCTTGCCTAGGTACACAATGCATGCTATTGGGCAGCTAAGCTCCGAGCACGATGTAAAGGTGAGCAGTTTCTATATGGACTCTATTATTAGTATATGCTTCTGCTTATCCTGCCGCATCTATTGTCCTTCTCTATTCGCCACTTGTCTCTCCACTCTCATCATAGTCACCCTCTTTCATTATTGTGAATAAGCCCGGCTTGAGTCCAGCCCTACTTTTGCTCGTCATATAGACCCCTCCTAGACATGTCCACCGAACCAAAGCACGAGTTGGGCGCACCGAGGCCCAGTCTAATCCCGGAAGAGCCTTACTCGGCTTTCAGTAACTGGCAAAAACGCTCGATCGTGATTCTGATGGCCTCGGTGGGCTGTCTCGGCACACTCAGCAGCTTCGTCTACTTCCCCGCAATCCCACAACTGACCGACCATCTCCATGTCTCAGTCGCCGACATTAACCTGACCATCACCGTGTACCTCATCGTGGCGGCGATTGCCCCGACTATCGTTGGCAATTCCGCCGACACCATCGGCAGGCGGCCGACCGTCGTCGTCTGCTTGGTTATTTATCTCGGTGCGGACATTGGGCTGGCCCTGTCACCATCGTTCGCTGCTCTGCTGTGCTTTCGCATCTTACAGGCCGCCGGGATATCGGGGACGTTTGCCATCACTTTTGGAGTCCTCGGTGATTTATTCACGCCTGCGGAACGAGGGAGCACATCGGGCATCATGTCCTTTGTTCTTAACACCCCTCCAAGTTTTGGCCCTGTGCTTAGTGGATTGCTGATGCAACGGTGGGGATGGCGTTCGATCTTCTGGTTCCTCACAACGGCGTCAGCGTGCTTCTTACTTGTCATCGCTCTATGTCTTCCTGAAACTTCCCGATTGGTTGTTGCAAACGGGAGTACACCAGCGACTCATGGTCTTCGTAGGCCGATTCTCCCACTTTTACTCCCTAAATCTTTGGTAGGCGAGCAAGCTTCCGCAAGCGCATCAAATAATGAGAGAACTGGGCGCATCAGCTGTCCCAATCCGCTTAAGACGCTTAGTGTACTGAGAAAGCCTGCAACGTTCCTCATTATCTGCGCAATGGCCATATACTACGCCATCTACTCGACTCTTCAAGCTTCGCTTTCGAGTCTATTTAGCAGCACATACAAAACTTCGAGTGTAGTCACCGGCTTGATCTATCTTCCATTCGGTGTCGGATGCGGTCTCGGTGCTGTCCTCTCAGGTACGAATTATAGCTCAGAATTGATCTCCATTCATTCAGATCTTCATTTTCAGCGGTCTAAGAGTTGGCTCAAATGAGCTGACAAGGCCTAGGCAAAGTACTGGACATAGAATACAGACGAACGGCGGCTAGGCTTCATTTTCCACTGGACCGCGGAGCAAACCATGATCTGGCCTCCTTTCCCATCGAAAAGGCTCGTCTTGGCAGCCTGGTTTACGCTTTGCTGCCTTGCTGCCTCTGCATCGCTGGATACGGCTGGTCAATCCAGTACGAGTTGGTGAGTTTAGTTCACTGGGTGTGGCCTGGTTGAAATGACGTGGGCATTGAAGCTGACTTTCAAAACGAAGCACATGGCGGTGCCGCTTATACTACAGTTCCTCATCGGTCTTCCCGTGCAGGGCATTTTCACAGCCATAGGCACGCTGCTGGTAGACACTCACCCGGGCAAACCAGCAAGTGCACAGGCGGCGAACAACTTTATCCGCTGTGCAACTGCAGGTGCAGGACTAGCTATATTCGAGCCTGCACTTAGGCGATTAGGGCCAGGCTGGACTTTCGTACTTTCCGCCGCAAGCGGTCTCGTGGCGGCTGCGCTGCTGTTCTGGGTCAGGGGTTCCGGTATGTTATGGAGGAGACGCTCTCGCCGCCGTCAAGCTAACAAAATCAGCTCTCACTAGTGGGTTAGATAAGTCTATTTAAAGCAACTGAGTTTGATTTAGTTCTAGGATGTTATAAAGGGAGGCAAAGGTTGTAATACTTCTATATTATATTACATATATATATTTATTCCTTTAGTTTTTTTTTATTTTTCTTTACCCTCAACTACTAATTATTTATTAAGTAAAATAAAACCCCTCAATGAATTAAGCTATACCCCCTATTAGTGCAGGTATATGCTATATTACATTAAGCCATAGCTGTAACTTAACGCAGAATTACAGGTTAGGGTTTTACTACTAGCGAATACTAAATCAATATAACCATTAGGTATAGTAGTAAGAAGTAAATTGACTATTATCCCAAACTGAGAAAAAGAGAAACTAGTGACTATATAAAAGGACTAGTAGCATAGTTTAGTATAAGGCATAACCCTCGTAGTATATCTAACGTATCCTAGTAGAAACATTTTATCTATAAAAAGTATATTAAATCTATACTCATGTTAATAAGCTGCAACTGTAATATTTCAAGCGAGTAGATATCCTATGGGTTTATCAAACTCCCTTGTGCGCCTATTTTGAACATTTTGAACATTGAGTGAATCCTTGATAAGCTTGCGGGTACCTAATAATATATTTGAAATAACTAGTACGTAGAAGCTATATTATTTGGTTTTATTCGAAAATATATGGAGCTAATACTACTTCGTATTATTTAGCAAGAGCCCTCGTTAGGATCAGCCCTAAATCAGTCAGATACGTTAATGAAGAGCTTCGAAATGGAAATAGACTATAAAAGTACTTACCTATAGCGCCAGTTGCCGTAAGTTGTATCGCCTCCCTTTGAACATTCGATTTCCTTCGAAAGGCCGTCAAAGCACTCTTGACTATAAATTGTGCGCGAAGAAGGGGCATTTTTCCCAGTGAGGCCAATGGTAAGCATAACGACCTTGTTATTTCCAATGGGGTAGCATTTAACGCGGGTTTCACGCTTGCTGTATGTGCCCGTGAGGGCACCGCTGCAGGCTGTCAGGGCTGCCTTATTGGCAGCGGCTTTCTCAGCGCCGTAGCTGGCCCCAGTCTTAAAGCAACTTCGCTTCTCCAAAGCGTTCAAGCTGTCATCAGGGTTGGCGATGGCTGCAGAGGAGGCCAAGCTAACGTAGCTGATGGCCGAGATAAAGATGGTTGAGGGCTTCATTTCAAAGAGTTTTGCGAAAAATCTTCAGAAATTTAACCAGTAATGGAAGTGAATTCAGATAGTGAATGAGGTACTGTTGCAATAGGAGTTGGGCTGTTTGTTACTATTGATGATCTGGGTTTTGTTAACTTGAAGGTGGAATCTCGACCTCTTATATAGAAATTTTGATGCTATGTTATGCTCTGCTATAGTGTGTCATGTGAAGAACGCTCAATTGGGAGAACAAGTGGCCAAGGCGCTTAATGTTCTGGGGCAGGATGCTCTAGGAAGCCGGTCTGAAAGTCAAAATCTCACTTTTCTAGACTCCTCCTTCACATCGCCTCGATAATACACCAGGATCTGGCTCCTCCAGTTCGCTGTGGAGATACCAAGCCTCGTTACTGTCTATGATGGCCTGATAATCGGCGGATTTCTAAATTAAACATCCTTCCTTCCAGTCATTTCGTATTTATGCTGGCTGAAGACCGAAGGATCCGTACTATTTACCTATGGTTAAGTATTACTTACAGCCAAGACGTTACAGCAAGATAGTTCAGGCTGAATAAAAGCCTATCGGAGTGATAATTTACTCCGTACATGGCCCTCTTTCAATGTTACGACGGAAGCAGCTGCAATAAAGTAAAACCCATTTCTATTTTCAGGCCTATTAACTAACACGCATATAGGTTTCTGCTGATGTCTTATGTCTGGTTTCCTTCAATAGCTACCTCGGCTAGCTATGTATTAGAAGCCGGGATATGTGTAAGAAGAGTAAGGAAGAGTAAGGACACTACAACTATGTCTTCGCAGGTAGTTCGCGGGTGGGTAGCAACAAATGATTGTATTCATCTCTGCCTTCTCGTAGTTTTCTATCGAAAACTGGACTACGTCTTTTATACGGAGTGGTTCCTGACTAAGGGCTATATAGCCCTTAGACTGCGGCCTAGCTTCGTGGTAGGTGCGCTGTAGCAGCGTAGCCCCACGTTCTGGACTACGGGCCTGACACTTATGTACTCTAAATTCACTACTGGGAAATGCAATGGAGCAGCGATGCTCAGTCTAACTTACTACAAATCTACATTAGGATAGTTACCAATAATTACTTTAGGTACCTATAAGGTACAATATATGCAGGGCCTACAACTACTTAAAGTTGTATTACTCTGTAAACAAAATGCAGAGGTAGACGCAGATCTAAGGGAAAGGCACATGCCGCCCCCAAAAAATAGCCAGTCTAAGCCTCGGTATATTGGACTCTTCGAGGTACCCGCTTTATACGAGTACATAGTACCTAGGTATATACCTGTGAACTTAAAGTTACTGCATTAGGAAGGGAATCCGTGGTTAACTTAAGGTTAGTGGTATGTATAACCTAACTTTTTATAGCAGTATTACATACTATGCATAACTAGAACCAGAAAAGCCGCCCTTAGTGTAAAACAGATTATATGCAATACGGACTTCGTTGGCATTGCAATTTTAGTGACTATTGTAAACAGGGAAGTCTGGCCCCCAGTTTTTGATGCCTACACCAGCGGTTCGGCAGCCGCACTCGGTGTTAGGCCGGGCACAGCGGCCGGAAGCACTAACCTGCGTCGTGCCAGCACTTCCAGTCAAGGCCGAAGTTGGATAACATTGTGGGTGACCCAAAGCCTGCGAGAAGAACCACATGGGACCGACCTGAGCAGCAAGTTGCTGTCCACTAGCATTGAGCCACTGTCTCATCGTCGCATCAGAGTAGGAAGAGAAGGAGAGGGCCGAGCCCACAAAGGGGCTGAGTGCCGACAGCAGGCCTAGAGGGGGGATTACCATCATTGTGTCTAGTCTTTATACTGCAATAGGCAAAGTCTTGTTGCCGTGCCTTAGTGACACGAAAGAGATATTCCTCTGACTTAGTACTTATTACCCTTCTACCATCCTGCGGCTAAACATACCCCCCTGAGTAACTCGATGAGAGCAGTATGTTTAGAGAGGGCAAGTCTTAGCACGAAGAGTAGAGTATCGAGAGCACGTGTCACCACGAGAGAGCTGGTTTGTAAACATCGTGTAAGCATCAAAGAGCTAATTTACAGGGCACGTCCTAACAAGAAGGAGATATAATCGTATACAAATGAGTCTATCTACAAGCAGGTTGCTTTCCAACAAGACGTATGCTTACAAGCGTCGTTCGGCTTCTCCAAGATGGTATTGGTGGTTCTGTGTAGTACAAAATGCCGCGCCTTCACCCAGAGGAAAGACATCCATGTAATCATCTTGAAGAAATGCCAGATACCACGGGAGTGGAATCGGCAGTAACGGGCGCTACAAAGCTGGACCACTCTTAATACAAGAGCTAACATTAAGCTTAATACGATTTGGAAAGTAGCGAGACCTGTCATCTTAGCTGAGTTATTAATATAAGTGGCATATATAAAATGATAACCATAGGCTGAGGTATAGCATTTTGCTGAACCAGAAGCTACAGCTTTATTAACACTCTCATCCTAATTACAACCTCTTGATCAACTACCATTGCCAATTAGAAAAATCTTCATCTCCCCCCTCCAAAAATCGCCGCCTCAAAAAAATGCCAACATTGAAATTCATCATAGGTTCAAGGTCACCAAATCGATCATGCAGCTCAGAATTATCACCCTCTTTTTGAGCTACGTTCTTGTTTCGGCTGCTTTTGACGCCGAACCCCGTGTTGCGCGTGGCGCACCGATGGTCTTCAAAGGAGCTAATCCCCTGATCGAGAGACGTGAACCAGAAGCCAAGGCCTGGGTGCCTCTCGAGAACTTGGCTATGGCTGAGAATTGAATCTCGTGCAAAGTCCAGTACGTGGGAGTATTACACCTTGGGACTGTTGGTGTTGTATATGTATTCTGACCCGTGAGTTTGTCATACTGGCAGCGTTAAAGGCAATGAAGGCCTTTGCCAACAAGCGGCGGTATGGAATGTCTAGGAATGTAGTATTCTATGAAATAGAAAGGGTGTTTAGGTCTGTTGGAGGCTTAGTAGCTAAGCCACGCAATTAAGTTTACTCGCCTAGTTCAACAGCAATGAAGGAGAAGAGCAATCCACTACATTCATTAAGAAAAAAGCACTGATATTGTCTCGCTCATCGAAGCTACGTGATTTGTAGCAGATACCTAGTAAATATCCATGGATCTTTTTTGGGGGCGGTTAAATAATACAGTGGTCCTGCTTTTGAGCTGTATATATAATAGCTAAAGGTACAGTAGGTAAAGATTGTGAGTTACCTGGCATAGGAACATGATAATACACTCGGCCATGTAGATATTGAAAAATATAAAGGAGAGTCTACAATGGGAATGAAAACTGACAGTACGTACTGTGCAGTAGATTTGTAACGCAATGGTGTTACTACCATTGGATATATCATTTGAATTTATTGCTAATTATTTACGTGTTATTAATCCGTAGTGTAACTTAATGTAGATTAATAAGATAGGGAAATCTTTTCTTATATTCCCTTTGACCCTGAGGGGAGAAGGTGCCTTATTCCGAGGCAGCGGGTGACGTTTTCCAGTATCCTACATGTTATTTTGTTGTAATTCTATCTGTAATCAGGCAGGTGTTAGAGATAACTCAAGTGTTATTAATGCGATTGGATGTTAAAAGGTACTAGATGTTACAGCCTATACACATAACGCAAGTACCATTTGTCTTGAGAAGAGGGCTTCCTCAAATTGTATAATTCTATTATTGTTTATAAGTGGGCGATGATTAATATATACCACTTACAAGTGCATAGTGCCAATAAAGAACAAGTCAGGTCGACTGCCTAATGAAAGCCGATGATTACCGTCGGATGTGAATTTGAATGGCTCACTGAATCTGAGGCCTCCTAAAAGTTGGTGGCACTTGTCCCACTGAGTCGAAGGTGTACTGGTAACAAATCCCGCATACATACCAAGCAATCCGGGGATATTGAGCTACCAACCACAGGCCCTGAATTGCGCATATATTTCCAGATCAGGAATAACCCACATCCCCCTGGTAAGCTGGTCTGGATTATACCATTGTATGAACAGGACCAAAAACCAGCCATAATATATACTATCCTCAATTTTATGAGAATGTATATATTCGACGGGTACTTTAGGCATTTAGGGCAAGATGCCCCCAAAAGGAGGCACCCACAGAAGCGGTGTGATGATAACTTATATATATTCCTTTTCCATAATGCTTTCTATTCCATCCAAGCAAATACTCCATTGACACTATAATTCTCATCCACACTACCTGCGCAATGACTAGAGGACCACGAGGCATCAACGCCGCAAGACAGCTGCGGGTTAACCAAAGAGAACAGCGATGGGCCGATCTAAACTATCGAAAGGCAGCGCTGGGCACAGTTTATCGATCATCCCCATTCGGCGGCTCTTCACACGCCAAGGGCATTGTCCTTGAAAAAATTGGTGTAGAGGCAAAACAGCCCAACTCTGCAATCCGCAAGTGCGTCCGAGTTCAGTTGATCAAAAATGGAAAGAAAGTTACCGCTTTCGGTATGTTTATATTCCACTGGTCTTTATTTGTTAGCATTGTTACTAACCTTACTGCAAAGTCCCTAATGACGGTTGCCTGAATTTTATAGACGAGAATGACGAGGTGTTGCTGGCTGGTTTTGGCCGCAAGGGCCGAGCTAAGGGCGATATCCCAGGCGTTCGATTTAAGGTTGTTAAGGTCTCTGGGGTCAGCTTGCTTGCCCTCTGGAAGGAGAAAAAGGAGAAGCCTCGTAATTAGAAACTAATAAAATAAGCCTATATATATACACTTATGTTTATATTTACAAAGTATTATGGCTTGGTCTTTGTAGCTGTAATTGTGCGCCTACTGGGTAGGTACCTTCGGATAATTGTAATTCTTGACTCGTTTCGTTTACTTTATGTGTAGTCACGGTATAATGCTATATCGTTAACCCTCATGGACCAAATTCTGTTCTTGACACATTGCAGCATATATGCCATCCTTGCGGATCAGCTCTTCATGGGCTTAGGCTTCCACCACCCGACCACCATATAAGACAAAAATACGATTCGCCGGGCGAATGGTGGAGAGACGATGGGCAACCACAATGGTGATGCTGTTTCCAGTGGCAGCCTCCGTAAGAGCAGCCCGGACAATGCGTTCAGACTCCGTGTCGAGCGCACTTGTGGCCTCGCCAAGCAAGATCACACTAGATTGCCTGATGAGGGCCCTGAAAATTGCGATGCGCTGCCTCTGACCCCAGAAAGTTGACTACCGCTAGTCCCGCAAAGGGTGTTAAGACCTTCGGGCAGAGAAGCGACAAAGTCCCAAGCGTTGGCAGCTTGACAGGCTGCTTCGGTATCTGCATCGGACGTGTTGAGCGAATTAGTGCCGTGGGGGATATTTTCTCTAATGGATCCGGGGAACAGCGATGGTTCTTGCTTTACAAGAGCCACATGTTTGCGGTATCTTACCGGACTGAAGGAGGTTAAGGAGTGCGAGTCAATGGAGATGGTACCGCTAGCAGGATCATACAACCGCTCTAAGAGCGAGATCATTGTGCTTTTGCGGCATCCCGAGGCGCCGATAAAGGCCACAAAATCGCCGCGCTGGATCTATTGACTTGTCAGTCATATAGACACACGGAAAGGCTGGGCGAATTGCATCGACTGTGGTTTTCCAGTAATTACCTCCATCGATATACCATTCAAGACCTTTCTATCGGGGGCGAGAGGGTACAAGAATTGGAGATCTTTCAACTCGTAGGTTCTGCAGTTATCAGGAGGTCCAGAGGCCCTGTTGGTGTCCGTTTCTGCCACCGTTGGCTCCAAGCCGGATAACCAGAAGTAATAGTTCCCTGCTTGGATTCCACTGGTAAACCCTTTTGCCACCGAGGTTAGCAACACAGTGAATGTGTCAAGACGAGAGTTTGGCTTACTTCCGGTAAAGCTGAAGAGTGTCTCAGCGGCCATTCCGGAGAAGTAGACAACAATGAAGGCAACCATGAATTTGTAGAAGGTGATTTCGCCATCGCCGACAATGCATCTTCCCAGAGATATGCTTGCGCTATATGTCCGCTTCCAGATAAATGGATATACTACTCTATTCACCTCGTCGATGAGTCTTGTTTCGTGTAAACTTCTCACGAAAGCCGAGTCTCTGAGATATGAACCGGTTATTCTTCATGGGCCAGTTCGGATTAACAACCAATCGAGCGGCAATCTTCTAGCATTGGTTCTATTGAACAAGACGGAAGGCAGTGCCTCAGTTCCGACCCATGTCTGCGTTGCTTGGAAATCCAAGGTAGCCAGCGACCGAAACACCTGCCCTCTCCAGTATATCTCGCATTTAGCAGGAACAGGAACAGGAGCAATCGAAGAATCAAGATGAGCAGAAAGAGGGTACCTCCTTCGTCAGTGGCCAAACTCATACTTTCGGGTACGCTGAACACTGTTGGAAATGCATTGGAGCTGTCACTTCGCAGTCATTGCGGCTTCTCGGAGGAAACAGATTGGACGGCGGTGGCGATTCCGCGGCTGGGCAAACACCATTAACTGTTTTCAAAAGTTGTTTTCCTTTAGCGCCAAATATGTAACAGTCATAAATAACAGCGCTGATATGGTCAGCTGTACCATTAAGAACACCAATGATGTTAGAGGCGAGTTGTTAACCCATGCTGGCCTCGCCCTCGCCCTCGCCTTGCTCGGCCTACTTGCCGGAGTGCCTCAAGCCTTCAGCGCTGTAGTCGCAATTGGTGGACTTATTTCGCTGCTAAATCATGGAAGCATATGATGCGGATGAATGACACGAAAAACGATGAGTCAATTGCGATGCTGTTCCTGGGGGACAAAATACAGCATGTTGTGGGAGGCTTAGGGCCATTTGAAAATGACTACGACATTGCAACGGTGCGGAACCACAAGGAGGAACACACGGACACCTCTAGGACCAAGTCATATACTTTCCAAGTAACAATGCACTCAGTCATCAACGCCGCGTACGAGGAGCGGACAGTTACGCGTATCCGGGACAATGGCATGTCCACTCAGATGGTCCATCTCCCTCTTGGGCTCTCACAGAAAATGGTACAGTGTTGGCTTCTGGTTATAGATGGACTTAAGCCGTCCGGGTTTGCAAATCCGTCAAAAAAACCACCATTTACACTAGGAGAAGGCTCTATCTTATCCTACAACACCGCCTTCAAGTTCGGGCAGGGTATTTATGATTGCTGATACTCCAACGGTTACTGGGCTGAGCAATCCGACACCGTCTTTGAAGCCGATGGAGAGAAGAGAATTGCCATTGTCCAAGGGCCAGATTCATATTTCAAGCCGGCGGGACACCATTTGCCCGGTTATCAAGTCCATCATTTCCCTGAGGACCCGTTCACTCCAGTGCTGCATCTCTCACCCTGATCTATTCATTTAGGCAGCTCGGAGAAGGCCACAAATTGTCGCTTAATTGGCAGGATTGACGGTCCTGATGAGGCAATGAAATTAATTCAAAAAAAAAAAAAAAAATGAGAAACGAGACAACAATAATTAAGCTTATCATCTGGGCAAAATAGATAAGGATGTCTACAATCTCTATGCTTGGACGTGGAGAAAATCTAGCAAAATAATAATATCAAACACAGGCGGTATGGTATTCTTTATTGCCAAAAAATGGTGGCCAGAGACAAACATTGCGAAAAAGAGCCATTGATTGGTTGACAAGTGAGAGAGCTATCGCTCTCCGCTCCTGAACAGGTAGTTTACTTAGCGTGTGTGAGATTAATAGCAATTTATTATATGATTCACCTTATGAACAAAGATAAGCTTGATATAACATACAGGATTTATATTTATCTATAGCACCTTCCCTATATACTTCTATAGGTTAGATTCAATATCTAGATGAGAGATTCAATACTGTAACAGCTGGTTGAATAAAAGGCTATGCCTCAGCCTTTGGTTCGGAACCCAGAATCAACCCATAGCTCACTCCAATCGGCAACAGCCGCTCAAACCAAACCTTGGAGAAAGCATGACCGCGTATCAAGGTTCAAGACCAAAATGATTCAAGTCATAACAATATGGCGCCAACTTAAGAAGCATATGTGCATCGTTTACGTATCTTTGCTCCATATTTGTAAAAAATAAACGGAAGAGGGACGCAAGCTAGTGATAAAAAGGCCGGAACAGAACTTGCCCAGTGGATACCGAGACTCTGGTACATATAGGGAGTAAAAAGAGGAAAGGCCGCGCCGAATAGTGATCGCAAGACTGTATTCGCGGCTATCGCGGATGCAGCGAAGATGAGGTATGAATCAATTAAATAATTCGTGATAGACGAGAAGACGACCAAGAGCCCGAAGCCAAACGGAACGTTTGCGAGTACTGAAGAGACCCAATGGATAGACGGGCTATTTGTCCATGCGAACTAAAACAGTCCAATGGGGATAAAAAGAGAAGCGTACCTGGCGGGTATAAGGCGAGTTTCGGGGGGAACGATTCCTCCCTTCATTTTGGCGATTTCTTTGTATTTTTTGTTTGTCCAGAAGCTAAATGCAGCTGCACATAACAGACCGACTGAACCACCGAGAAATGGAAGACCACCGATGCCCTCTGACCAGTGGCGATCTAGTTGATAGATTACAGGGAAAGCTCCGAAGAAGAGGTAGAGGGTTCCTACATCAAGACATAAGTGAAAATGTAACCATAATTCTCACAATTTAACCCAAAACAAACCGTAGATAATTGCCATGTATAAAGATAGCAGTGATACTATAGGCTCCTTGAAGAGAAAAACCCAAGGTCGAGTCAAGCTGGTTTTAAGTAGGCTCCCCACGGAAGCCCCTCGCCCGTTGATATCAAGCTGAATTACGTACGTCTTGTTCGTAATCTGGGATAGTTCTGCAGCTCTTCTTCGAAGGATAACAGTCGCGTACGTCTCTGGTATGAATAAAGTTCCAAGGATCCACACGACGCCTCCAACGATGGCAATCATTCCTGCAACCCATCTCCAGCCTTGCTTCTCTCCTAGGAAACCACCGCACAACGGCCCCAGTGTTGGTCCGACCACTGGCATCAAAACAAATAAGCTCAAAGCGGTGCCTCAATAAGTAGCTGAAAAGGTGTCTGCGATCACACCAGCAGTATTAGTGAGCGTAGACGAGCCAAAGGCGCCTGCAAAAAAACGAAGAGCAAGGATCGTGGCGGTAGTATTGGCGCCGGCACAGCCAGCATTGAAAGCGGTGAATGCACCAAAGGTTATAACAAATATAATTCGACGGCCGTACATTTCCGACAAAGGAGCCCAGAGTAGCGGTCCAACAGCGAAACCGAGGACAAAGAGCGATACCGCGGCTGTGATGAGCTCCGTGCTTGCGCCGAGGTCAGACTCCAGCTCAAACAACGTACCTGGGATCATTTTGTATGAACATATTTTGTAATCCAAATTTGGTGAATCCACAAACTCTAGACTTACCAGTAAAAGCCGTTGAGGCAAAAGACGTCGCCAGCGTCCCTCCACCGGCAATGATGGTGATTACACACCGCAAGGCGGTGGACCAGTTATAAGGATTACCAGCGTCATCTGGGATGAAATTGACCACATAAGGGTCGTCTTGTGTACCAGACCCAGCGTAAGGAAACTCGAGCAACTCATTCGTAACTCGAGATTTGCCTAGGACAAGGCTAAATATAGATAATCGCTGCTGTGAGCTATCTTTGGATTTTTCGGTCATGTTTCTGCAATATGCTCGGAATCCTATCGAGTGTTTGGGGGATGTTAATTAGTGATATTGGCACTAGTAGAGTTGAAAGAAGAGAATTTATCCAAAGAGATATAGCGGCATTATTGACAGCATCTGCTAGTGAGATAGTAGAATATAGCATTCATTCTCATTCTCGCTCGCTCTTCTTTTAAGCTGTCATTTCATTATGGAGTCAATTTCAGCGTTCGGTTTACTTCCACGTTCCGCCAAGTTCCACTGTGTGTCTTTACATTATTAATCACGAGATTGGAGTTACGAGGTACGGATTTGGGCGAAGATATAATGGCAATGCCGAGGCGTCGCTAATTCCTTTTGTGGTTAATAAATGGTGCTCCTCGTTAGAATGCAAGTAGACGGGTACAAATGAGCTGGGAAAGCCTGTATGATGAAACATGCCGCCGAACGCAAGGAATAGCCTCCCAGAACTGTCCCTCGGGTATGCTTGCTGATGTGTCCGCTGGATATGTCCGCTGGATATTTCCGCTGGAAAAGTCCGCTTGGGGAGTTCCGCTCAAGAGAAAAACGCCACTAGTGTGGAATGGATATATCTTTCTGTCGCGCAGTAGTACTAGAAACAGTGTGTCAGCAGGGCCTAACTGTCTTTCCCTAGTCGTTTCTCCTCTTCGGTAAGGCTTAGGAAGCCCCTGTTCAACAGGGATTAGGATTGGTCTGGAGAGCTAAAGAGGCCGCACGGAATATCCGCAGAGCTTCTGGGTGTTTAGTCGTCTACCTATTTAGTATATAATACAATCTATTGGTCTCAACAAAATTCGAATTCGACTTTGCCATTGCACGAAACAAGGTGGTGTTACATCCAACTCCTATAGACATTACCGCCAACAACAGTATAGTCGTCCCTTTCAACTGGCATCAGAACATACAATGACCGACTGGGAGACCCGGGCCCGGGAGCATGCGAACGATGTAAACGCACGGATTCCTGAGAAATGGGTCATCCAGGGCAAGATCCCTACAGCAGACGAGCAACGAGATGTAACGGGTTACATTCGTCAGTTTCTGACTGCACGAGAAATCCGTATCACCGAGACCGAGGCCATCGATATTGTAGCAAATATAGCGTCAGGGACATGGAAAGCAAAAGAAGTTACCGAAGCATTTTGCCACAGGGCAGCACTGGCCCATCAACTGGTATGGTGGTACAAAGTATACAGCTTTCCCATCATGGCCATAATGTTAATAGCATGACAGGTTCATTGCCTACATGAGATATTCTTTGCTGCGGCTATCTCAGACGCAGAAAAACTTGATGATTACTTTGAGAGGACTGGCCAGACAGTTGGTCCACTTCATGGACTGCCCGTGTCACTGAAAGATCAGTTTCACGTGAGGGGCGTTGAGACAACCATGGGCTACGTCGGCTGGTTAGGAACTTTTGAGGGTAGGGAGGGTACAGGGAAAGAGAAGGTCTTCGAAAGCGAGATGGCACGCGAGTTACGAAACCTCGGAGCCGTTTTTTACATCAAAACCAGCGTGCCACAGACATTGGTGAGTGGGGAGACATTCAACAATTTTATCGGTTACACCAATAACCCCAAGAACCGTCACCTATCTGCTGGTGGCTCTTCTGGAGGTGAGGGAGCATTAATCGCTCTGAAAGGGTCTCCTGTTGGGTTTGGGACCGATATTGCCGGCTCCATCAGAATGCCCGCCAGCGCCAACGGAATTTACGGTCTCAAACCCTCTGCTTATCGTCTTCCATACGAGGGCGTGGCAACTAGTCTGGATGGTCAAAACACTATCCAATCCAGTATTGGGCCTTTGGCACCTTGTGTTGGCGCGATGCGCCTACTGTTGAAAAATGTTTTGGCAAGCAAGCCCTGGCTGTATGACCCACAAGTTGTAGAGCTCCCATACCGCGACGAGCTCGAGCAATGCACTCGCGATCTCGCCAAGCGCCGGCTAGTTTTTGGAATCCTGGATCATGACGGCGTCGTTACTCCTCATCCCCCAGTGGCACGGGCCATGGGTCTTATACGGTCTGCTATTGAGGATCTAGGGCATGGAGTTCTTGAATGGAAGCCGCCCGCTCATTCGAGGGCGGTGGGTATCTTGGTCAGTCAGGCTTGTATCAGTTATCAAGACGCATCGAAGGATTAACAAATTGTAGGTGAACTCACTTTTATATGACGGCGGACAAGATGTGCATAAGAACTTCCGCCTATCCGGTGAAAGAATCTTCCCCCAAATCACAGGCCTGTATGGCGAGACGCCTAGCGACAAACAACAGAACGCCACCGATATCGCCGCCAACAATGTCTTGAAGCGTGAATATCAAAAGGAATACCTGGATTATTGGAATGGGACGGCTGAAATTACTGGCACTGGTCGCCCGGTCGATGCTTGGATTCTTCCTGCGGCACCGTTTACCGCAGCGAGACCTGGACGCTATGACTGGTACGGCTACACTGCGGTCACTAATGTTCTTGACTACACGACTGCCGTGGTTCCCGTCACTACGGCCAACAAGGACATTGACTTGAAGAATGAGACATACACTGCTCTTAACGATTGGGACCGAAAAGTTTGGGAATCGTGTAAGTGGATTTCTTTTTTGCAACCCCGTGATTTTCTCGATATTTGAGAAGATATACGTATGCTGATTCATGTCCTATAGACGATGCAGAGATCTATGACGGTGCGCCGGTGGCTGTACAAATAGTCGGCCGACGCTTTGAGGAGGAAAAGATTCTTGTCCTGGCCGAAGTTTTAGACGAGGCACTTGGTAGGGCCAATTCCTAGATGGCACATGCATGGCCTTTTAGATAATTGGGTACTCTCAGGCTAGCTCGTGTTACGATAGTCAGAACACACAAAGTAGCAAAGTATAACATCTTTTTTCTCACCAGTGATTCTGCTTGGTTTTCCCTTTAATTTCCAAATGACGGTGTATGGTAACAAGGGTATGAACATGACGAATCACCGTTATGTGATGCATGCTTATTATGTACAGAGGACTAGCGTCATAACATGCATGACTCTCTCATTATGCTCTTGGTTTGGCTACCGAGGGCTCGCCCCTCGAATAGCAGGATACTTGTTTTACATTTCACCTTGCTGGTTCTGGTTTAAGGTAGACTTGGAGAGACACGATTGGCGGGGGTGGAGTAGAACCTTTCACGACTGACGTGGTGGTGGGTAGGACTTTTACTAAAGCAGCGGACAATCCGGACTTTACTTTATTAGTGAGCGGAACTTTTAAATCGGGATTTCGCCCAGCGGAGTTTAACAAGTAGCGCGAGGTTTGGTCCAATCTGCGCTCAAAACAAGCAGACCCTCGAAGCCTCAGTATTACCAAGACCCAGGCATCACACGGATCATGCAGGAGAAATGATGCGTACTATGATGACAATGCGTTTCTAATCTCGCTTACGACCAAGAAACACGGATATCTGGCAACCTATCTTGAGCAACCACAGCGACACCTCTTCCTCTATTTTTTTTTCCACACCTGCGGCGACCCGGACATTTCTAAGATTAGCACCGCACACCACCTTTGTCTGAAGCGGCCCCCGACTGCGAAGGGACATCCGCATAGAACATGCCGCCGCAGCATGAGTCCGCTCCCACGGAGGACCGTCCACTAGATGGCTTAGGGGTCGCAAAATCGCCGCTTTCCTGCCATCGCTGTCGGCGATTGAAGAGAAGATGTGACCGTCAATATCCTTTTTGCGCGCTGTGCTGCGAGTGAGTTATTCATACGATCCTAACCCTCGCATAAGAGAGAGAAGGGAGGGGGAAGGGTTCGAGGATCCAAAATTAACCGCAAGAGCCTGAGTGAATAGGAGGCAGGAATCATGCGATTATCCTCCTAGCAGAAAACAAAGGAACAGGCCCAGAAGTGGACATGTTATGCGCAAGCCTTCTCTGCTCAGTCCGCGTACATCATCTAGGACGGCTTCCACTGCTGGATCGAGCATTCAGGCCTCAGCAGTGCAAACCGCATCGCCCCATCCAAGTCAATATGATATACACTACCAGCTCTCCGAACTCAGTGAACTCGATATCTTTGCTGCAAGCTTCCTCAACCCCGACGACAACTTCATACGAGCACAATTAGAAAGCGCAAAGATAGAAGTGAGCATTACAGAAGCAGTGTCCAGCTTAGTCGGCAGCATCAGCGATATCCAAACTATCGCAGTAGAATTCAACCAAAACATTTACACGTGGATGCCCATCTTATCTCACCAGCAATTCCAAGAAACCCTCCTAGAGAGATTAACCCTTCGAAGAGCCGAGCTCTTCTTACTCGTGTTGGCTATGAAACTCTGCGTATCACGCCCCACAGTCGCAAGATCAGCGCTCTATACAACTGTAAAGGAGTTCTACATTAGCGTGGAGTCCTCGGGAAGACTATCGATCCTTATTCTGCAAGCCGCCGTCCTGATCGCAGTCTACGAGCTTGGTCACGGCATATATCCTGCTGTCCTTCTTTCTGTGGCAAACTGTGCTCGCATAGGTGTCCTTCTTGGAGTCGACAACAGTCTCACAAAACTTGCCCATACTACTGAAATCCCATGGATCAAGCTGGAGGAGTGTCGCCGAGTATGGTGGATGATTTTGATACTTGACAGGTATGATCCTTTGCCCCTGCTCTAGTGGACTGGCTCGCTATTTAAGCAATGAGTTCTCACCAGGTCCTTTTCACAGATTTGTCAACCTATCTAACCCGAAGCGACACCTGGTAACTTCAGATCCTGATTCAGACAGCTACCTACCAGTGGATGACGCAGAATGGGATAGTGGAGTAAATCCCGCTTGTCACTGTTTATGCTTGATCGGTTGCTGACCAGGAATGATAGATTTCAAAGCCAGCCGATGCAGTGCAGCTTCGATTCTCTTCACAGATGAACATTGGCAGATTTGCTCGATTTGCACATGCCGTGCCTCTTCTCAGCCAATGCATTTCTAGAGTTGACGAGGCGCCACACGACACAGTGCAGTTACGCCGTACTATTCTTTCTCTGATCAACCTCGGAGAGAAGGAAGGCGTAACCAAGAGAATATTGTTTTGTACCCTGAATGCAGCATGCTATATGTAATGAGTTCCGATTCCTATCTCTATATATATTCAGTTGAACTAAGATATAACAGCCCGATATTCATGCTTGATAGCGGCCTCTTACACTCAAACACAACAAGAAACGAGCGATCGATAGATAACATGCCCGATACTATATACGCACTTCGGCATGTGGTTGCTACCTTGACACAAGAGTCTTGGAGTTCTCTTGCTCGTAACCACGAGAGGCTGGGGCCATTCCTTATGCATATGCTATATCAGGCCTTGATAACTTGCTTGAGCCTAAGGGATAGTCCTTCAACGGAGATTGATATTCCATTAACAGTCGGTGTGCTAAAATCGGCACTGGAGCAACTCAAAACTCGGTGGCTAGTAGCTGGTATGTTGATTGTACTCTACTCACCGCACAGTGGGCCGCTCACATGATTACAGGCACGTACCTCCTGCTTACGAGGAGGTATGAAGTCTTCTCCCTCGTACGGACTGCATAAATCCAATGGTTCTGTTATCATATGTACTTCCATCGACATGTATACATACTCTGTAAGAACTCAGACAGATGCGACTCCGCGGAATACATGCTTCCCTTGGTCTCAAGGCTTCCACTCGATGAAGAGGCCTTTTCATTAATGACATAAGGCGTAGGTGTGTGAATGAAGCGTCGGCGGCTACCAAAATAGCCATGAGCAGTGCGGTATGCCGGCAGAGTATACATGGTGGGCCAGCTCCAGGCTCCCTGCGTACTCGTACGTGAGCCTGGGCCGTTGGACTGGAATCACCAAATAGTATGAAACCCTACAGTTGCTTTCACCAGACATACCAGAGAACATGTAACGTTATATCAACGTTCTATGAAAATTCTAGTGCGTAAATGGCCTAAGTAGTGCTCTTGTCCATCTCCCATCAGACATGAAATTCCCTGACAATGGAAATTGTTCAATTGCCTTATCCGGAAGTCATGCCCCACTGTCAAGACCACACATGGTATGTACCCTCTTCGCGATCAATTCCGTCGTTGCAATCAAGACCCCGCCTGCGGAGTAGATATCCTGCAGCTGTTACAATGGATTGGTGCGCAGGAGGTAGGCCTAAGTAAGAATCCCACGGACGCAATTGGCTGGCCTGTGTCCGCCAACAATGTCCGCAAGAGTCCGCTATGGTGTCCGCCTAGCACATCTGCGCCAAGGATCAATGGTAGCCCAACAACGTATCCTCGTCAGAACCCTGTGTTGTCTACGCCGTATTTCTTTCAATGTCTTAATAAGACATTCCTGGAGTACCAGTACACTGATCCCCGGTACTCTCCGGTGGGGTATGATTCGCTGACGAAGGATTTGTTTCGCTCTGCGGTTATTGCGTTTCTTCTTAGGCTACTCATAGTCTTTCGGTGGGTAAATTATGAAGATATGCTTGGGGATGTATGGTACTCTACAGATGTATACACTGTTTTGAGCCAATATACAGGTCCCAAGAACGTATAAATTGGAGACACCACTGAAGTAGAAGCACCTAGTTATGTATTACCCACCTATCGACACTGCAAACTGCCGATTGAACGCGATGCATGTTGTTTCACCAGTGAAGTCAGGAGGTATTAAATCTTCAAAAATGCCTGGAGAGTTTACATTAGTCGGTTTTATTCTGAATATACTCCAGCCGCATAATGCTGTCAAATATAGCAGACTTAATAAAGTACCAAATCACAGGAGCCACAGGAATGATAAGCTTTTGTATATTAATCAAGCTTTTATATTCAGGATACAGAAGGTGTATAGCTCTCCATGCCTATAGTTGCTTTGACGAGATGAAGAGCTACAAATCTCTCGCCCGCTTTCTGTCGAAAGAGAGAGAGTGTCCGACATTGCGACGACTAGCACATATAATGATGCAGCTAAGGGTGTGAAATATGTGATCCATGTGGCATCTCCTCTCACCCATCTCAAATAAAACGATGCAGATTAGGCAGGTATAGTCTAGCTATCCATCAAGGGAACAGTTGGCGTGCTTCAATCGACAGTTAAGACGCCGGATTTCGAGAGAATCGTGATGACTGCCTAAGTTGCTTCAAGGGTATCCTCTGTGAAGAAAATATTCGCTGAAGCTTGGTATGGACAGAGATTACTAATAATGTCAAGCTCACTGGTCCACCTATCCTAGATTAGTGCCGGCTTACGCTGCTTCCCATCTGCAACCAGCGAAGAGTATTCCCAGAAGGCCCAATAGCAATGGATTTCTCCTCAAGGGAGTTGTGACCCTGATCCTCCAATGCCTGACGGCCCCCTACGGACAATGCTTTATACGTACAGTTTCACCCGGATCAGATTAAAAGAATATCTCCTTCCCTAAGTGTAGTACCTTAGCTATCAACGACAGCTTTCAGCTCCTCTGAAATAATGGAGACAGACTCAAGCGGTTTCACTTTCTAACCCTATGTATCTGCCCAACTCTCATCACCTAGCAGCACTTCTCAACCGACAATGCTCATTTACAGGTTTATTACACGAAACTCACATGTTGAAACGGCTGTTGAAGTGAACGTTAGGCATATGTCGATTTTACTAGCACATCTCCTGCTCAACCCTTTTTAGCGAGGCCGAGTGATTCGTTCGAATTCCTCGTGTGACTTTTTGGTTAGCCCTTTGCGTGCAGAATGGTGGTAGGACGAGGAGTGAGGCTAATAAGTGGTCCGATATCAAATATATATATACTGACTTGACATAAGCACTCAATGTTTTAAATCAGCAAAGGCTTCGGTGGGATCAAGAATTTCTCAGTATTCTTTACAATTTGCACTTGCATATAGCCTACCTGGCTGGGTAATACTCGACTCGCTATGCCCACCCTGCCATACTTTAAATCCCTTCCGTTGCGCAAAGATGGGCCTCAGGGTAATGCCTGGGGTCTGTTTGGCGACGATGACCAAAACGACATGCTAAATCTTCTCACCACGGATAATACAGTTCATGAGTGCAAAGAGATTAAGGACGGTACTATGCGGGATGGATGTCTGCGGTAAAAATTTGGACTTAGGGTATTGATACGTGTATTAAATATAGATCATTGTATTTTTACTAAACATGACTATTGGAAATCGCTTCAAGGCTCAATGAAGTGATGTCGCACATTGAGGTTGACCGTTTGTTGCTGAACTTGTTCAAATCTGGGGGGGGCCTTGGAGGATATTGAACTCGCTTAACTTCTTCACTTCTTCATCTCGACACATCCACACTTTAACATCACAAGACACTATTCATCGAGTCACCGAAATTCTGATTCAGATCAATTTAGTCCAAGCAATTGAGAGTTTTCTTCTTAATTTCACAATCCCGCCAATTCCATGCAAAACTCGATGTATCAAGCCAATGCCTTATCAACAACAGCCATAATTTCCATCAGCTCTTCATCGCAAAACGGTTTCCCCATTAGCTGTAAGCTCCCAGGCATGTCTTTCACATTCTCTGGAATATATGACGGCTCGTAAGGAACATCACGCACAAATTCCTTGTCCAAAGAGAAGTCGCCCTTCATGTACGGAATGACGCCCGCAGGCCAATCTAATACATTTGCAAGCACGGTATACATTGGGAAGCCGAATGTGTCATGTTTCGGTGCTGGACTTTGATAGGAGGGCAATAAAATTGCGTCCAGCCCATTCTCAACCATGATTTTACGATATCCTGCCTGAAGAGTTCGGCGCTGCACATTCATTTCAAACACGTCGTTGAGTGTGAGGACTTGATCCTTCATATCTGGGAAGCTTGTAGTTGATATAGACTTTATGACGGGCTCGCCACTTGCTTGGATGTGTTTCATGGCAGTTTTCGATGCGTCGAGACCAAAGTAGCGCCATGCGAGCCGAGTAACGCTATACAGAGTCTCAGGAAGAAGAGAGTCAAGGGGTACAAGAGAGTGACCTGCTTCCTCAAGTTTCTTTTGTGCAACCATCAATGCGCGCATGATGGTTGGATGTAGAGGTCTCTCGTTGTCCTCAGTGATGATTCCAAGTCGCAGTGGCGAGGACTTAGCGGGCAAATCGCGGTATGGGGAAGCCATGGCTGTCTCATCCAGCTCCCATGGGTTGCTGTTGAGAACTGTCCTTGTCAGTAGCTTTAGATCCCTTACAGAATGAGCAAGCGGCCCAGCTGCAGGCAGTATGCCAAACATTCCGGGTCTTCCTGCACCGCTCTGTCCACCGTATGGGATACGACACGCGGTCGGTTTGAATCCGTATACACCATTCATGGCGGCCGGGATACGCACGCTTCCAGCGATGTCGGTACCTATTCCCAAGATGGAGCCACGCTGCGCGACGAGGCTTCCTTCGCCACCAGATGAGCCGCCGGCGGTAAGAGAAAGGTTATATGGGTTGAGAGTTCGAAGAAATATGTTATTCTCGGAATCTGCTGTCATCATGGTGGTCGGAATGTTTGTTTTGCAGTACAAGACGGCGCCTTCTCGAAGGAGAATTTCAACAAGAGCTGCGTTGTCACTTTTCGGCGGGTTCGAAATCCATGATACAAATCCAAGTGTGGAATCGACGCCTTTGATGGAGAAGGATTCCTTGACAGATATCGGCAAACCATGGAACGCCCCGCTCGGCCGCCCATGTGATGCTAGATACGCGTCATATTCCTTTGCTTGAGCGATTGCCTCCTCAAAAAGTATCTCGGTGAGACAATTTGTCTGTAAAACTGTCAATAACAGCAACACTAGGATAAATGAAGCTATTCCTCTCACCAGTTGCTGTGCAATAGCAGCTCTTTTGCAAAATGCTATTGTCACTTCTTCAGAAGTAAGCTCCGCCGACGCAAGTTTTTCAATCAAATCTGTAGCATCGTATCTTTCGGTAATGACGATCTCTTTCTGTGTCAGAATTCCGCATGTTCGTGGGAGGTCCAAGACATTATATATAGAAGTCTCCGAGACAGTTTGAATGATATCAGAAGTCAAAAGCCATTCCATAGGAATTTTTCTCAGCACTGAATCGCGTTTAACTGCAGCCTTTACGGCCCAATCTGCCTCAGCCCCATCCGTACCGGCATTCGATACTTGCATGGTATCAATCGTATGAGCGGTGGTAGTAGTAGTCGCCATTACTTGGAGTGCTCTATCGTTTTGTCGAAGTGAGATACGAGGTTACTCTTCAATGCATGGTAGTGTGGTTTTTATACATGAAGACCGCCGAATTCAATCAGATACCTCTAGTTCTAGGCTCTTATCAAGCTCAGTGTATAATGGCAAAGCCGATATCATGCCAAACATCTAGATCGGAGCGCAATCCGCCTTGATTGGACGAGGGGAAACCCGCCAATCAACATAATTTGCGCGGTAAAGGACCCAGGCCTCGGGTGGGTCTGACGATACCACACCAACCCCACGCAATTCAATCTATGTCGTGAATCGACTTCAACTGCAATCAGCACATAATGTTTTACTGTCCCTGTTCGAGCTCAAACCTTTGAGTTGGGCCATATATTCCACTCACTAAACAAATTCACTACTAGCAAGCTGGGTGCACAAAGCGTCGATCACAAAAAGGTTGATGATGGTACATCATTTGCCGATAATCATCAGTAGGTCGAATAAAGCTTAGTAACGGTAATTTACACAGTATCATCTCATGAAGCAATAACACGTCCCAAATTTATGGAGAGATCAACGCTAATTCCGTTCAAAATCAGCCTTTGCTTTCTCAAACATGCCTTCTTGCGTTAGAAGATCCCAACCGGTCATGGCCAAGGCTTTCCCCACAATCACTGCCATCTCGAACGCTTGCTCCGTCCCAGCCACCTCCGCAAATTCTTTGCTGTGGATCTTGATCCCCGCATCACACGGAATCCCAAACATGGGGTGCAGAGCCGGCATCACATGACTCACATTCCCCTGATCCGTGCTCGCTCCTACAACCTCCGTAGCCAGGACTTGAACATCCTTCCCAGCCGCTTTCATATGTGAGGTGTAGGCTTCACAGAGCGGAAGATTGGGAAGCAGATCTTCGTAGGCAGCTTCGCGCTCAATTGAACAACTGCAGCCTGTTGCCAGGGCACCGGCACTGAGGCAAGCTTCCACCTTCTTAGCCAGTTCGTTGGCTGCCGCGATCTTGGGCGCTCGAATAGAATAGACGGTTTTGGTGCTTGCAGGAACGATATTTGCTGCCTTTGGTGCCTCTATTATTGCGCTGTGGATGCGACAACCTGGGCGCATCTGTTGCCTGAGCATGCTGACGTTGTTGTAAGCAGAGACAAGAGCGTCGAGAGCATTCACGCCTTCCCAAGGCTCTGCGCCCGCATGAGCAGATTTGCCCGAGTAGGTGGCAAAGATTCCGATATGAGAGTTTGTGAGAAGACCAGCGCATCCGCCAGGATATTCAAGCAATCCATTGTTGGAAACAGGGCACGGATGAGCCATGAGTGATACATCAACGCCCTTGAATGCTCCATTCTTCAGAAGAACGACTTTGCCCCCTCCTAATTCTTCTGCTGGTGTGCCAAGAAGTTGAAGCGTTGCATCAATGCTGAACTTTTTAATCAAATGACTGAGTGTCACGTATCCCACGATACTGGCCGTAGCGATTAAGTTGTGCCCACAGCCATGTCCAATACCTGGCAAGGCGTCGTATTCCGCATTGAAGTTTATGGTTCGACCTTCGTTGCCACTAACGGTGCGGGACTCGAGTGCGGTGGCAAGACCATATGCATGCCGAGTGGTGTTGAACGAGTTGGCTTCAAGGAATCCACAGATCACGTCGTGGGCGTGATGTTCTTGCCACGCCGTTTCCGGAGTGTCATGGATCTGTAGATTATTAGTTTTCGGGTTACTATCAATTGACAGGAGGAGGTAGACGAACCTCTCTGTTAAGCTTGGAGATGGCAGGCAGAAGCCTACCAACTATGTTATCAACATCTCGCCTCACTTGCTCAATAGCTGGCAGCTGACAGGGACCAGCAACGATATGAGATGGTTTAACCAAGGTGGTAGACATTGTGAAGTAAAAGTAGAAGTCGTCCGTGACTTTCGGCAAGATCCAAAGTGTCTGTGGTACACACCGAGCAATATGTTATTTATTTAAAGAATAAAAATGGAAATAAAGAAGATAGACAAGTATTTGAACAGATCCATCGTTTTGACTTCTGATGTGACGATCTACCGGTGCCAATGTGCTGTATCCATCTACCAGTTAGATTAAATTGCGCGGTTATCTGACCAAGCTCCACGGTAGCCACAGATAGACTATCTGGCGATGAGTACGAATGCAGCAGAAAGATATCGGTAAAAAAAGGCAGAGACAAGGACCCGAGTGGAGAGACTGGGGCCGCTAGATCTTTGAGCGCGGGGTTGACCAATCAGAATAATTTGCGCGCCTGCAAGCCCAGCCAGCTTCAACTGCCAGGTGAGGGACCCGAGGCGATCTGGAATCGCACCCCAACACAGTGTTCGACATGTTCGACATGTATGCAATAAACCAAGGCGAAGCAACCGAAATAGTGTTCTTGACCATAGATAAGGATGCGCTTAATGGAGAGCATAAGTATCCCCTTGTTTCTCACCCTCGAATATCATTATTATTATCATCATCATTATCATCATCATCATCATCATTATTATTAGTATTATTATTATCATCATCATCACCATCCTAAAAGATCAAGGTCAAATATTAATCTCAGCAATTACCTTATACTCTTCGCCCTCTACCCTTAGTCTAACACGAGCCACATAACATCCGATTTGTCGCAATGGAGAAGACCGTTGACAACAAGGAGAAGTTCGTCCAGGATGCAGAGATGGACTTGTCACTTCAGCAGTCACTAAGATTTGGAACCCTCGACAACATCTCCAAAGATGAAGACAAGTCGACCCGACAGAGACTTGACCTAGTCCTCATGCCTCTTCTAGGATTTTGCTATATGCTTCAATTCCTCGACAAGATGACTCTCAGTTATTCTTCTCTCCTTGGCCTAATCAAGGATACGGCAAGTTCCTTACCCCACAAACCCTCAAACCCTCAAACCCTCAAACCCAGACGTCGAGACTGACTGTGTAAGCAGAAACTTGTCGGCAGCGAATACGCCTGGTGCGCTAGTATCTTCTATTTCGGATATCTCTTCTGGTCGTTCCCAGCCTCTTATCTTATGGTTCGAATTCCCATTGGCAAATATCTTGCAGTATCTGTCTTTCTTTGGGGTGCTGTATTGATGTGCCATGCTGTGACCAGCAACTTCGCCGGGCTTATGGTCACCCGATTCTTACTCGGGGTGACAGAGGCATCTGTTGCGCCCGGATTTTCGCTTCTTATGGGCATGTTCTACAGCCGCAAAGAACAGCCTTTTCGACACGGTCTGTGGTTTGCAGGAAACTCCGTGGCGAACATCATTGGTGGTGTGCTCGCATATGCTATCGGAACCACCGAATCTGCCCTTGCTCCATGGAGACTTCTCTTTATCATCTTTGGTGGAATCACCGTCTTCTGGAGTGTGCTCATGCTGCTTATGCTTCCCGATTCAGCATCCAAGGCAAAGTTCTTGTCTCCTCGGCAAAAGGAAATAGCAGTCGCCCGTGTTGCGGACAACAATACAGGCATCCGAAGCAATAATTTTAAGTGGTCGCAAGTATTCGAGGCTCTTCGAGATCCTCAAGCACTGCTGCTGTTTTGCTGGTCGCTCAGTGTCAACCTTCCCAATGGCGGCCTTACTGCTTTCGGCTCTCTTGTCATTGCCGGCTTCGGATACAAGGGCTTGAATGCTTTGCTACTCCAGATGCCTGGTGGTGCCACTCAACTCGTAGCTGTCCTCTTGGCTTGCTATCTTCCATCTCGGTTCCAAAATATTCGCATCATCACCATGTTTTCCCTCAACTTGATCAGTCTCATCGGAATGGTGATAGTCTATGCAGTTCCTGCCGAACATAAAAATGCAAGACTCGGTGGATACTGCCTCTGTACCGTCTTTGCTGCCAACATGCCGCTCTCACTCTCCCTCGTTTCTTCTAATGTTGGAGGTTTCACAAAAAAGACCACGGCTAACGCGATGCTCTTTATTGCCTACTGTGTGGGAAATATTTTAGGCCCACAGTTCTACAAAACCAAAGAGGCTCCATCGTATCCTGTGAGTTATTTCAACTACCTTTCAACAAAAATAAGCACATGCATTTAAAGCTAACAGTTCTCAATAGACTGGCATCAGATCTTCCTTGACCGGCTTTGTTCTCGGTGCATTCTTCCTCGCCGCCCTACGGGTATACTTGCCGTGGATAAACTCGCGCAGGGAAAGGGCTACAGCTCAAGCATCTACTCAAGAAATGTCGGTGACAGATATCATTGAGGAGCATATGAGCGATAGAACTGATTGGCAAAGGCCGGACTTTCGATATGTCTATTAGTTCGAGTATTGTTCAAGTTTATTTCCTAAAGCAAAATCGTATTTTGATTGATATGAGATGACAAAGTTATATATGTTTGATGGGCTTAGCAATCTGCCATAATTGTAAACCACTGTACTCCGTATTTTCCAAACGAATTAAGTCATGGAATTTTATCGTCAGATTTAGCCTGCCTCTGGCTGGCTCCAGCCTCCTGGGCTGTCGTGTGGCCGGAACGAATGAAAGAACAGAGCCAAGAGAAATACTCCTCCGAAGTAGAGCCGATCGGGTCGCTTATCAAGGAAATGCGGCAACATCTGGGAACACCTCCAACATTGCAACTACCTAACCTGGAATTCGAGCACCAACAAAATCAAACCTCTCGCTTTCGTCTCGCAGAGCCTTGTGATACAATATCACAATGCGTCTTATATCCAATGCCTAAGCTTAGAACCAAAACTGGATGTTTGACTTGTAAAACCGCCAACGCGTGTACAGATGACGCGGAGAAGCTGACAAGCAATAGGTCGTAGACGCAGAAAAAAATGTGATGAGACGCGAGAACGATGCCAAAACTGTTTGAGAAATGCTTTTGAATGTATATGGCCTTCAAAAGAACAAGAAAAAGACCGTCGACATCTGCCGCGTAGCAGGCGGTCCACCGGTGAAGACCGCGACGGAAGTGAGCTGAATACCTTGGTGGGATGGGACCGACCAGGCAATCCGATCTATGAGCTCTTTAACACCGTGTTGTCCCCATCAGCTCCATTATCGCCTGAAGAGAGTCTTTTTTACACGGTCCCGCCGTCTCTATCTGTTGTGCGCTCCAATGTGGGAGAACCAAACGCGACAGTGTTGCTTGTTGCCTTTGCCAATGAGTTTCTACCAGGTCGTATTCATCCAGGATCTCATCCACGGTATTTGGACTTTTCATATGCCTTTGATATGGCGTTGTCTAGCCCGCCGTTACTGACCGCTTGCCTGGCCTGCGCGACCAGTGCTCTTGGGACAAAATATCAAATTGGGAATCCGGAGTTGAGAGCAGAACGGTTCTATGCAAAGTCCATTCATGCGCTGCGAAGCATACTTGAAGAGGGAGGATGTGAGGGTAGTGAAGACTGGTTACTGGCGACAGTGGTCATCCTGTGTCTCTATGAAAATCGAAAACCAGGCTACGATCCAGCGACAGCCACTGCACACATCGCAGCAGCCGGCCAAGTTTTCCGCAAGCGAGCCATGACCAAGATGAGCGCCGCTGCCACAGCATCTAGCCAAGAGCTGGCAAGTTCGCAAACATGGTCGGCCATTATATTTGAACGCATCTTCACCGAATCATTCCTCTACCACTGTATGGTCATGTCGGTGCAGGATTCGAATCTTACGCCACTGCAAGACCCAGTGTTGCGCGGTGTTTTCGACGATTACTATGACTCCTGCTTGGTGTCGACATCCCCGGAACCTGAGAATTGGCCTATTCTTGGAATGCATTATCAGATAGTCCGGTTGTTTTCCGATCTTCTTGCTGCCCTCGATGACACACCTGCATTCTGTGGGCTCGGTGATATCATAGAACAGCTGGGGACATGGGCGAACACCTCGCTGACAGATGGGCATGGAGTTCATATCTTGCTTTACATCTCTGCTGCAAAGCTTCTTGCTTATCAACACCTGACGGATTCCTCATCTGATACCACACAGTACCAAAGTCTTCTGCAGCAGGAACTTGAAAATTGCAAAAATTTGCTTCCAAAGATCGATGTTACTGTCAATGCTTTCAGCCGGTACTTCTTTTGGCCTCTGGCAATCATTGAAAGGGTGGTTCGAGATCCCACTGCATCACTGCTGGTCCAGCTGAAGCTGAAGAATATGGAGGACGTCGATCCGGCAGGGAAGAGAGCCTACAATTGGGTTGCCGAGGGATTCGAGCGAAAATTTAAGAGTGCTTGATACCACTGAACATGTATAAGGTCAAGACTCCATGCTTCGCTGATCTATGAGATCTGAGTACGTGTACAAATAGATTCAGATAACAACACAAGCCATGTTGATACGAGGGGGTCGGCTTCACGAGCATTGCGGAAGTTATTCTTGTATGTGTTCTCGTTGAAATGGCACAATGAAACATGGAGAAGCCATTCCCTGATCACTGGATGATAGGTTTCAGATCAAGGGTTTCGCTTTCTTCCACAATATTCCTCCCAAATGTCCAAGATTTGTCTAAGCTAAGTTGCTCTCAACAACCTCCAATTCACAGACGCCGCTGCTTTGGGTCATACCGTGCCAGTCGACATGACCGGTTACTTGAGAGTGAGAGATCCAACTTTGACCAAAGCCAATCTACGAAGGAAGAAAGCCAATAGAACGGAGTGTCACGTCCACTCTGGCTTCGATCTGGCCGTATTATTTAATGCCTCAGGAAGCCGCAAACACAACTACTGCACATTCGGTAACGGTTTTTTTTCACCGTCCAACGTGAACATATGTGCATATCCCAGCAGAAGGAAAATCGATGGGTGAGGCCCGATAGAGCAGCCGCTCAGTGCGCGACCAATGCATCCGGTCTGCCGGCGACAACAGCGGCGGGGCATGAGGTTGGCGAGGAAAGATAGGAGGCCAGAACCAGTTGGCAGAGTGAACGACAGCTAGGCTGGCGTTTGCGTTTGCGCACTCCAGGCAAGGCCGTGCGTCGGAGTGAGAATTGGGTGGACAGCAGGAAAGGAATGAGGATTTTCGACGACAATTTGCTCCACCGTCTTACATTCTTGATCGGGCGACACGCGCTAAACCACAGTTGATACCGCACTTCAGCAACGACTGCGGCATGACAGTGCAAGCAGCTATGCTGATGATTAGAATGGGGTTGTGGAGACCTGTTCTCCTCGAAGAGTCTCTCCGCGGAGCTTGTCTTTCCACGGAGCTCCTACCTAACCCACTAACGAAAACCTAGAACCTAAAGGTTTATCCCTTGGAAAGCTTTCTCTACTCACCCTATAGGAAACCGGTTCATTATAGTATTCTCTTAAATAGTTAATGTTCCCTGCACTGTTTTGCAGTTGGTTTATATATTTATTGATCTGATAATACCTACATGTATGCTTCATTGCTTTATATCCCGAGACATATATTAAGCTTTTACATATATCCTGTGCAATTACCGTATTACTCTTGTTTTGGGAAACTGTAAGACCCTCATGTTTAAATCACTACCGAGTGAACTGCTAATTCGTAACTAAAGCCCTTTACATAAGTTTACGAACGAGCTGAGAGTCGGAATTATAGAAAATGCCTGTGATGGAGGTTCAGTTTGGCGGGTTACATTTGAATTACAATTAATCTAATATTTTTGTAAGGCAATTCATACTCTGTCTCCAGGAGAAGTCCCTAAACTATCCTTATCATCTCCCATAAGTTTCTGCTATGACTTAATTTGAAAAACCCTTGTATAACTAGATATGTTTGTGTGCTTATTAGAAATGCTCTCTTTATCTGAGCTACACCATACTAAAATTGTATTAAAATCAGCCTGACGTTACCTTCAACTGATAGACAAGAGCCATCTGTAAACGTTGTCTATTTACTAAATATAGGCGCTTCTGAATAATGGTGGATGCCATACTTAAGTTAATGTTGGGATCATTTCAAGAGGTTTCTTCTAAGGCGTCGCTGTGGCTGGCATTAGAATAAGACGTATACATCGTCATAATAAAAAGATAGCCATCTTTGGCTGTCCAGTTCTTTGTTCGGACTTCGTCGGAAATATACACGGACGTAGCACCGTAGGGCTGTCGATAACTTACGTCATTCCCACAGGCTGATATTCCGTCAAGCTATCTTACAACATTTGCTGACGGTGGGAGTGCCATCATTGCTGACGGTAAGAGAAAAGTCATCAACGTTGAACTTTGCTGTAAATAAGGTTTCGTGATGAACTATGATGTCTGACATGGATGCCGTCAACGAACTCCAATTGTACGTCAGACGCTGATGCGTTCGTTTTCGCGCTGACACGACTACGAGTTACACACCAGTGAGCAACAAGTTACGCAGCAGCAGCAATAATTCCAAGAATGTATATTAGAGAGAGACATCTCCCTCTCGTATCCCTGGTTAACTATCCCCCTGCTCTAAATGTTAAGCCATTTTTTCCCCAGTCGAGCCTCTTAGAGCATTTACATTATGTGTGGCATACTTGCTAGCATCTCGGTCGAGCGCTTCCGGCGTGGCAGTAGACATTATTATACCAAAAACAACCACAATACAGTGGTAAACGGTGACTTCAACGGTACTCACAATCACGATGCGGTCGTAAATGGGGAACTTGAAGACCAAGAAAGACAACGAGCCCTTTTGACTACGCAATTAGAGAATGGCTTGATGGAGATATCTCACCGGGGACCTGATAATTCCCACGTGTGGATTACAGAAGACGCTAGAGTCGGTACGTTGTCACTGCTTCTCTTCATAAGAGGATTCTGCTTCTAGTTAACACACGCACACACAGGCCTCGGCCACGCGCGCCTGTCCATCAACGACCTGTCCACCGACGCCGACCAACCCATCCATAGCGACGACGGGACAATCCACGCAGTGGTCAACGGGGAAGTGTACGACTTTGATAGGCTCCGTAAAGTCCTGACCGACCAGCACAGGTACCACTTCAAGAGCCAGAGCGACAGCGAAGTGCTTGTCGCCCTGTACAAGGTCCACGGGGCTCCCGGCTTCATCGAGCACGTCCGTGGAGAATTTGCCTTCATCTTGTACGATGAGCGTAGGGATTTTATCATTGCCGGTAGGGACCGGTTCGGCATCAAGCCGCTCCACTGGGCGTTTGTCCGTGATGGATCGGGGGAGAAGCGCCTGCTGGTGGCGTCCGAGGCGAAAGCATTCCTGCCACTGGGTTGGCAGCCGGAATGGGACGTCGGGGCCCTTGTCGACGGTGGGTACATGAACGGCGATAGGACCGTCTTCAAAGATGTCCACAAGGTCCTGCCTGGGTGCTGGTTAGAGGTCAACGGCGATGGGATCGTACATCACCATAGATACTGGGACATGGAGTATCCCGAAAAGGTAAGGGCAGCAATAGCACATGCAAAGCAAGAGGAACACTCTCATCTGACACTTTCTCGCAGGACAAGGTTGAAACACGTCCACTTGACGATATTATTTCAGGCGTCCGGAGGCGACTCACCGAGGCCGTTCACCTCCGATTGCGGGCTGACGTGCCGGTCGGGATTTATTTATCTGGAGGTATTGACTCTTCCACCGTGGCAGGAATAGTGGCACACCTCGTCCGGGAAGACGGAGTGTTGGCGGGCACTGAGGATGCAAGCAAGCGGATCCGGTGCTTCACGATAAAGTTCCCCAGCGGGTCCGGGTTTGACGAATCTGGTGCGTTCAGGATCTGCCTTGCTTCACATTCCCCCCTCAGCCCCTAGATCTAACGCGCTTGCAGATATTGCCGATCGAACGGCCGAGTGGCTCGGTGTCGACCTCGCCAAGAAAGACATGAACGAAGGCCGATTGGCAGAGTACTTTGCGGATTCTATCTTCCACACCGAGCTTCCTTGCCACGACTTGGCAGGTGTCGGCAAGTTTGGCTTGTCGATGGAAGCTCGAGAGAACGGGTTCAAGGTCGTCTTGTCTGGGGAGGGATCTGACGAGATCTTTGCCGGATATCCCTTCTTTATGTGCGACGTTTTGAACGAGCCGGATCTATCTATGCCGGCGTCCCCATTGGTCAACGATCAGAAAACGCGACTTGAACTGTTGAGGCTATCCAACGAGGTCCTTGAAAAGGTGGTCAAGTGGACTGGCCTATGGATGCACCGCCCGGGACAAGGCCCAGACTCGTCAGTTGACGACGTCCAGGGGGTAGCGCCAACACTCTACTTCCAGCCGTCCCTAGCCACGTGGGCGCCCTGGGTGTCTCATCGCTGGCCAGACTTGAACTGCCGCGACACGGTGGCCACGGCACACGACCCAGAGGTACGCGCCAAGATGGCTAGCAGCTGGCACTCGCTGCACGGGGCCGAGTACGTGTGGACAAAGTCGGTGCTGCCCAACTTTATACTCAGCACACTAGGTGATCGCGCCGAGATGGCCCACTCGATCGAGGCCCGGACACCGTTCCTCGACCACCACCTCGTCGAGTATGTGAACCAGCTGCCGCCTTCTCTCAAATACGCATACACGCCCGAGACGGGTGACTTTGGCGAGCAGGGGCCGTACTGGGCAGATGGGACTGCACCGCAGAAGCTGCTTACGGAGAAGTGGATCCTGCGCGAGGCGGCAAAGCCGTTCATCACGGAAGAACTGTACAAGCGGAAGAAGCACCCCTACTCGGCTCCGTTTAAGTGGCCCAGGGGGGGGCCCGTTCATGAGATGCTGCAAAAGCTGCTGACGAGACAGGCTGTGGATAACTTGGGGTTCCTGGACTACGAGGTGGTTGAGCGGGGATTTGACAAGGGGTTTGGCGAGGAGGCGGATGCCCGCGCGTTTCGGAACTTGTTGGTGTACGCCAGCCTGGTGACGATAGGTCAGAGGTTTGGCGTGAAGAAGGCTGGACCAAGGGATTGGGCACCGGTGGCGGACGTGTCTAAAGAGAGATCCAGTGTCTTGCGCCACAACCTCTGAGCTGCTATTCAACATTTTGACAAGCTAGACAAGTCAAGTATGCCTTACGGTTACCGTGTTCTGAATACCTCCTCCGCTAGTGTCTCACTCATGTCTAGGTATGCTCGAATACCATGTAATGATCGTTCCCTATCTTTCACTCCTAATGGTAGTCATATTCATAGTCTGCTGGCGCAAACCTCATCATTAAGTTTATGTTGCTGATCCTCTATTAACTGTAGATCTTGGAGCACAACCAGTGACATTTCTACCTCCAGCGGGAACGGCGTCATGATAGTGTCAAATATCTCCGACCAGTCGCTCGATGGATGGAACCGTGCCATTGCCGAGGGCTACTCAGAATGTGAGGGATACTGCCCTGCTATCTCCTAATCCACAACGCTGGTCACTTTGTAGTGCTGAGACCCGTTCGACCCTTCCCTGAACTGCTTAACCAGGATATTACGCTTGTAAAAGTCCCCGTGTGAAAAGACCGCCTCGTAGGTGTCGAGGGCACCGCTCCACCAAACGTACCTCCGTAAAAAGCTGTCTGTGGTTTACACTTGCGCGTCAGGGAGAATCATGGTCGCAGCTGGTCACAGATCGAGCGCTTTGCCTGTTCTTTCAGACACTCCCAAAAACGTATCCAACCCTTTCCCCCCGATAAAGTCGGTGACCAGATACAAGACACCTAAATCAGACGTCTGATACATGGCGTGTAGCGGGGGCACAGGAGTTTCCAACTGGCAGTGTTCGATAAACAAGGGGTCATGGCCTCCATCCTCAGTAACGTCGATACCATACATCATACTTGACAATGTATTCATCTTTGATGGTAAAAAAAAACCGCGAGGCTGTGTCAAACCAGGTTCTCTCAAGGACAGCAAAGTCTGATGGGCCGTATGCTCAACCTCCTCGGCCGTTGGCAAGGGCTTTGTTAGTTCTGGTGCGTGGCGGAAGTTCGGTAATATCACCCTGGCCGGTAGCTTCATTGTTGGAACTTTGGTGTTGTAGAGAAGATGGTGCCATCAGAAAACGTAGATTTCGTGTTTCTCAGAGAGGAACGCTTAGCGACGCGTAGCGTGGTATGTGTGTTTGAGCAAAGAGAGGGTACGTAGCGGTTTTGCCGTCTCGTTTCTACTGTCCCCCAAGCGATGAGGAGTTTCCTCTGTAGGCCTGGCCAAAGGCTATTCTTAAAACCTCGCTATTCTCTCTAGTAACTGAAGTGGCTCCTGCTAAGGGCAAGGAATAGGATATCAGGATACTAGACTCGACTTGGCTTACTGCCCTTTTTCCTCCCATTCCTCCCATTCCACGCCCAGCCCCCACTGCTGTCAAGATGACCGGTCGCGGTGGCGAACTTGATTATGGTCCGCTCAGCATTCATATCTGGTTCCCATCTTTTCCTATCTGAGTGCTCCCTCCCTCCTAGATGGAAGGCTAGAGTACCCTCCTCTCTTCCTAGATGCGTAGCCTAGCAGAATTTTTCGTTGTTCCACCCGTTTTATATCGACAAAATAAACCGTGCTGGCCTCAAATTAGGTAGGCGCTTTGCTCTGTAATCTTGCCAAAGTTGGAAGAATGCTTTTGTGCATGTTGTCTATACTCAGTCTTTAAACCATCATCCAACCTGAGGCATTCACTGCTGCACGAACCATACAGCCACATCGACCATCACTGCGCAGGACCTGCTCAATGATACTGGGCTCCTCTCTTGCATAGACTATTGTAGTCCGGGAAAAAGGGTGGAAGGGTCAAATGGTCAAAGATTTTGTAACCGTGTATAGTTGAAATCTCACGTTCAGGTGAAGACGGCAGATAGAAGAAAATCGGCTGGGTTGGATGCATGCACATAGAAAGATTGAGCATTGGAACTTTTGGTATGGCGATCTGCTAGTCGATAACGAAACAAGAAGAAAGCAAATGTCTACTGTTATCGTCATCATTCAGGGATATGGCAAGCCCTCAGTGTGCTTGTCACAGTTCAAAGCAATCCTGGACACAACGAGTGTGAGGGAACCTGAAGAGCACTCTCGGTTACCCTGTAATATGTTCCGCTTGATCTCACTCCGCCAAGTGGTGCGCACCAATACGTAAACCTGTGCATTTATCGTCGATGCAAATCATGCTTGCCGAGTTCCTCAGTTTGTCGTTGGCAATCTGCATAGACTCCCTATCGAAAGCAGAAAAAAAAAAGAAAAAGGAGCCTGCCAGCATACACTCTCTAGTTGTGTCAACAAACCCACAAATGACTTAAAGGCCAGCAGGTGAATGGTGGTCTTAGGTCTGCGCGGCAAACAATGGCCCTGAAAATCCCCCACTATCATGAGGTCAGTATGCCCCTGATTGCAGTGGGGACGAAAGAGTAACGGCGACCCCCACAGTATACTACCTAATATCTTACAAAATTTATATCTATCACTCCGTTATATCTCATTTAATATTAAGTATAATTAAATAAATTTTACAAATAGGTGGTTTTTAATAATAATACTCATTACATGTTTAATTAAAATTTTAAAATTGGGTTTATATAATATTTTTGAAAAATAGTTTTAGACTAATGTTAGCACTGTATATTCCACTATAACTTGGCTAAAAAGCTACTATAAGATCACTAAATACAGTATAAATAATGTTTTAAATAGTAAATATAATTTAACATAATATTCTTTATAATAAATAATATTAATATAAAATAAAATATAATATATAAAGCTTTTTATATTAAATTATAATTATTAAAAAAATCTTTTTTTTTTATGTTATTTATGTTATTTTATAGATATATAAGCTAAGTTTTGGTATATACTATGGGGTTATCTTGACTTTTGCTGACCCACTGTGGGCGGTGTTGAACTCAAATATGCCAGGCTGGACAAAGAAGCCTCTGCTGCGGCCTTGCTTTCCGCCGAGTATATGCGATGACCCTTCCGTTTGGAGCGGCTTACAAAGTCGACAAATCTTTCAAACGCCGACTGGGAAATGAGAGGGCGTAAGGGATCATGAAACTGCTTCACGTCATCTCTATATCTCATTTTGACCGCTTCTCTCCGTAACCCCCTTTTCTAGTCGTTCTGCTCCCACATGCATTTTGGGACAAACAAGCGAGACAAGGCACTGCACGTTTGCCACCGGAAGCCGTATGCTAATCGTACTGTTGCCAAGTCCAGTCAATTCACATCGTGCTCGTAAGAATTGTGGAATATTGGAATTCTTCTCATTTCTTGCCTCCGCTTTCACCGACAATACTCTGAAAGTTTTATAGATATCAGCGTTTATACCGATCTGGGTCCAAAGATTCTTCAAAACTGCCGAAGATGTCATCCATGAAGTGCAGACGGTGAATTGCGGACCAGTGAAGGGAACTTCAGCAACGACCTTTAGATCTTATAGCCAAAAGTTGAACAAAACCCTTCGGTAACCCAACCTCCTCCATGATTTCATATAACATGTAGTTCGACAAAAAAACCATTCGTGATGATTTCCACAGAACCGCGTTTCTCAAAACGGTTGCGCGTGAAGGTAAAATGTGCTCTCAAATCGGTAAAACTAAAGGGCGATATGCGAAGCCATCTGTTTGCTTATACGGTTGATGCTGGTAAAATTGGTGAAGCAGACGTGGCATTTGAGCGTATCGATAACTTCGGCAATGCGGCCACCTTCGGCTTGTTCATACGTCTTGCCTTATCCGATTATAGTCGCCGCTATGATCCTTCACCGGTACTTCGACTCTGCGGGTTTTGTTACTTGCTTGTAAACTGCTGCTCCTTGGCCAAATGGCAAATTGAACCACATTGCCCTAGCGGTCATAAAATAGGGAATTGCTTTCTTTACAACAACTTTTTGGTCTACCTGGTGATGCTCGGCTAACGGGGCCTCAGTTTAATCCTAAAGGTTAGTTTAGTAGCTCTTGCAGTCTGTATATATTTGTCACCATCTAGACCGTTGAAAGCCACAGCCGTGGAGCTTCCCATCTCAATTGCAGCAGCCTTCAAGGGGTTCGTATCAGTAGAACTCGGTGCGTACGACAAATATGAGCCAGCGGGCTTCGAATTTAGAAATCTTACTTACAAATAGCTAAAATAAAGTAAAGGTTATGTATCCAATTAAATCCATTCCAGTTAATCAAAGTAAACAGTTCACTTATTAATTGATACCTAGATTGCTCCTGGTCGACGTTCGATCAGTGCTAACTTTATTTTACTAGGCTATTTTCCGGTCTAGGTATACTTAATCCAGGGTACGTACCTTCAGTTACAACCATAAGATATGAGGTCGTAATAAGTTATGTAAAAGCTCTACCGAGTAATTTGTATTTGTAGTAGCACTAAACGAGCGGATAGGCAGGAGCCGGAACTAAAGCTCAGCGCAAAAACCCCTTTACGAAAACCCCAGGGATATATATACACAAGCTTGTTTCAGCCCTTGCGTGGCGCACTTCGCTTGCCAACCGATATCTGCTAAACTGGGGTAGTTGAAGTGTTGGAGACTTGAAGCCTACCAAGAAGCCTCGGCAGGAGCCGTCTTATGTGTGAATTGAGTTAGCATCGTACTATCCAGGGGCACGGGGAGAAGAATAAACCTTCCGTCCTCCCGCCTACAGTTTTAGGGGCAAGCTGGGCATGTATTCCTTCACCCAACCTGACGGGATCTCTAGTGCTAAACCTTGCCTAGATTTGTAGTCTTGGCGTTCGCTACTGCTGTCAGCCAATCCATTTTTGGAAGCTTTGCAGATATGAGTTGTGATAACCACAGGGTCCTTGTGGCTGTATGTCAGCGATTGCAGTTTTCAGGGGTGCACCTTCAGCTGAGTTGCTAAAGATACTTGTATACTCGTACTTTACAGAAGGTGGAAACCCGGCACTTGCGCCCCCTGTCTAGTTGCAGCTAGTTCATCCGTCCACGCCTCCGACCGCTTGGTTCAGTCTTATGGTAAACATGCAACATACGTACTCACTGTGACATAAATCGACCCGGGGCGCTCACTGCCGATCAGTCATCTCTCCAGTTTTTCCTCCTGTCTATCATCAAATGACAAATCATTCTTTGATCCCCTGATACCTTTTTTAAATCACATCTCTACTTCTCTACTTCGTCTCTGAGCAAGAAGGTACCCTTTTTTGATCCAATGGCGAATCAGTTACGCGCCCGCACATTTGGGTCAGCAAATCAGGCTAATCTTCCCGATGAATCCTCAACCATCATTATTGTCTTTCTATCTTTAGCCTTCTATAATGTTCTTGTGCTTATATGCATCATATTTGGTACATTTAGGCGCTATTCTGGGCTTTATTTCTGGGCTTTTGTGGTGTCGACATCTGGCATTGCCCTATCTTGCTCCGGCTTCATGATCAAGTACTTCAGCCCAAAGTCGCTTGGCTACTTTTCGTGCACACTTAGCTTATTAGGGTGGGTGTGCATGGTTACCGGCCAGTCACTGGTGCTTTGGTCACGGCTACATCTGGTGATGCGGAATCCAAGGCTCCTTAGGATAATACTGTGGATCATCATTATCGACGCGATTCTCTGCCATGGCACCGTTATACCCATGGTTTATGGTTCATTTTCTGACAAACCCGAAATATTTGCAAAGCCATACTCTATCGCAGAAAGAATGGAAGTGATAATCTTCTTTCTACAAGAAGTTATGATATCCATCTTTTACATTATTGAGACAGTTCGCATTATGAAAATCGAAACCTTTCTTCAAAACCATCAATCAAGTCGACGATTGATGCACCATCTCGTTATTGTTAACGTTCTCGTTATACTTCTCGATAGCACCATTATAATTCTCGAGTTCGCAAACCTATACGACTACCAAATATCATACAAACCATTCGCCTACAGTGTGAAACTACAACTTGAGTTTACAGTACTTAATCGCTTGGTCGATTTAGCAACTGGCAGAAAAGAAGCATACAGTAGTCAACGAAGCCGAGATATTTATATTTCGAAAAATACTACTACTGGCCAAGTGTTTGAGGCAGACAATTCTGTTGGCGTTGAATCGCAACAAGCAAGTGATATGATTCCCATGAACACATTCAGTATAATAAAGCCATTGCCGCCGCTCCACACAAACGTTGGAATCACGAAGACGACTACCACCACGATGCATGTTGAAAAACGACTGGATGTTGACTCTGAGAGTATGTGTAGGATATGGCCTGGAGGATCAGAGAATGGCATGTCACGAACTGGAAGCAGGAATAAGAGCTCAACATCAACGGTAGATGGTCCCTTTTCTGAGTAACAATTTGGTGTGAGTAAAAAGAAGTGTTTCGGGTATTTATTCTCATAGTTCTATCTCTGGATCATAGAGCTTAACTCACTCATTTTGCGAAATCTTTTAAAAAAAACTTGAACTATTATCTGTACATCATTTTATAATCTTCAGTGGTTTTATTCTTAGCTGGATTCCTTTTCAATAGCTATTCTACTAGATAATAGATCCAATGTAAAGGCCATTAAGAAGCCACATAAAGATATAATATTATGAGAGACTATCTGCCTGCATATCTTTGAGGTATGGAATTGAGATCCATAATGCTGATAACATCTTAACCAGGGACCGTTTGGTACCGCAAGGTCAGCTGGGGATATCCTTTACCCAAGTAACCTTGATATATGAAACAACAATAAATGCAGGCGCCGCCACTTAATTAAAGCGTCGTACCTGACTCTCAAAAATGGGGACAGTGTATGGCCGTTTGAGCCGCCATTAGTTTAAGGACGCAAAGTATAGTTGCCTGACTCACGCAGCTAAAGAGCTGAATTTTCATCCCAGTTTATTATCAGTTAACGTTGCGCAGGACTGGAATCGGGGCCGATACTGGAAACTGAAGCTGGCAGAGCACTCCGCTTCGCGCAGATTCAATGGCGAGCCTTGTTGTTACATCAGTATATTCGGTCCCCCTCCGGACTTGTCCAGTTGCATGCCGAAGCCACTGACAGTCAAGGTTGCTAGTAAGGGGAACTGGGCAGAGGCAGTTTAAAATCTCAGTAGTCACTTCTTCCTGAAATGCAAGTACATTTCCGATACTAATTTTAGGGAGGCTAAAAATAAAACCTTTAGTAGGACTTAGTTGTTAATCTGCCTCCCTTAATATGGCAATATATCTAGCAGCAGGGAATTAAACAATTAAATACCACCCGGGATTTTATGATCGTGGACCAATATAACAATATCCAACTTGAATAAGATTCTCCATGTAGGCCTGAAATCAGATGCAGCTAGAATAAACCCTCCAAGTCTGTCATATTTGGGATACTTCTGGAACCCTAATAACATGGAAACGTGGCTCTCTTGCCATAAAGGACCTTCCTGGTGCCATGCAGAGCGTCAGAAGTCGACGGGCAACCAATCAGGTGATGTAGTGTGTCTTTAGTCCACTTCCACCCCCCTCCCCAAACTGAAACAGCGGCCCGGTTCTCTACGAATGAGCATGCCGGCATCATTCACTATCTCTCTCATACTAGGTGGCATGCTCTTTACCGAGAGCAAACCAGCGTCTGAGAGAAGTACCTCCGCTGAAACAGAATGACTAGATTAAAATAACTTCGTCGAGTAACATTTCGGCCAGCGCAGCCATATCCGGCACTACTTCAGCACGCAATGCAAAATATGGAAAAAGATATCGGTTTCACCGCAAAACCAAAACCCAGCCAATAGCCCACCTATCCCTTAAGTGTTACCTGGAGATTACTGTTGGCCCATATGCGTAAAAGATAAAGTGAGGTTAGTGATGATTGAAGAGTTTAACACAGCTAGGGAACGCACCTGTGAACAGGCTTGCCTAACATATAGTTCCTCTAACAAAAAGAGTGCAACTAACGATACAGATGGAGAAGAAAGTAGCTTCGGCGAAATGGTGGGGGGCTAGAAGCCTGGTTGTAAGGACACAACCACTTGAAGCTGATTAAGTCTCACTTTGTAGGTAACCTCTTTCAGCAAGGGGTCCTGTACAGGGTGTAGGACAACAGTTCCAGGCTTAGTAGCGGCTGAGAGAGGGAAGCATGCCCAGTAGGTAGTTGTGTGTCAAGACTTCGGTCGCGCTACGTTTTAGCGCCCGGCGTAGAAAGCCCAACGACAGCAAAGAAGATACATTACAACCAACTCTTGGTGTACAATCTAAGGTCTCGTCGCAATAGCTTAAAGTGAGGGAAGTACAGTAGCTAAACTAAACACTAAGAACCTCTAATACAGTTCCAGTGGCACATCCCTTTTGGCCATCAAAATAATGAATGCAAAGATAAAACACTAAGCCTAAATGAAATCACTAGTTTAATATCATATGACGTTCTTGTTTAATCCTGATTGGTTTTAGTGCTTAGTACGGAGTAGTTATGTACTTTCCTGGATATATAAGCCACTTAATTTGCTTCATAAATAGTTTTATTTACTGTATTTTTATGTATCTCAATGCCAAAAAAAGTAAATGCTACTGCTGCTACTACTAATCTTCTTACAGTATGGACGAGGGCTACAATACAAGTAATAGAGTTGTATTCGGCATATACCTTAAGCAAAGAAAACTAAGTCTTAATAGGAAATGATTTTCAGTTCATATCAATACAAAGCCCTGCAGACGCGAAAGACCGTGATAAAAGGCGCCAGGCAAGGTCGCACGCCGCCAAGAAAGGCAGACAACAACAGCTTCAGTATGCGTCTCCAAGAGATGCAGGCGGCACTTTAGGGCAGACATTGATTCCTTGGTCCATTTTTGCACCGGTATCGGCTTATGGCCCTTTCGAGACCCTAATTGGAGACTCCCCAAAGCTGAGAGCTTTGCTTAGCCATGGTAAGTTGCATGACGGTATAGTTGGAATGATTCCCATAGCTGACATTCTATTTTGTCATATAGATGCCGCTAGACAAGCCGCAGAGCCTATATTCAGTGTCGCCGATCCTGTCGTTTTCCAAGATTTTGCTTCCGTCTTCCGTACCGACCTCGACGACCCAGCCCTTTTGAATGCCGTTAAGCTTACTTTTGCATTTGCTGTGACTGGAGGAAACATAGACCAGGAATGTCTTGAATATCAAAACCAAGCGATGGGTGCAATCCGCGAAAGAATGGACTCATTAGAATCGGCCTTATCATTACCAACCCTAGGCGCTATCCTGCTCCTTGCCGGTGTGGAGGTAAGATACCATCAACCAGTTTATTTTCAAACTGGTCGAAGCTGTGACGATCTGACTCGATGACATCATATTAGGCTCGTCTAGGTATGCGATGGCAGGTCCAGCTGCACATGGGGGCCATTCAGCAACTGCTGGAGCTGGGCAAGACCAAAACCATTTATTTAACAGATGGTATCAAACGTGCTATCTTTTGGTAAGCCGCAACTGTGATGAGTGCGAAGATATGGCTGAGGAAGTATGATTGACCATACGATTGCGTTCTTTGGAGTAGGCAAGATCTAAATTCATCCGTCATGACCGGTTCTAGTCGCATAGTGGATCACACTACTTTTGTCGAGCTTCAGTGGAAGCGCGATCCGTTTGCGTCTACCTATTTTGTTCTGGCGCCAGGGTTTCAAAGGATATCGCACTTGTTCGACGAGGACTTTATTGAAGTTCTCAAAGACATCCACGCGCTGCAATGCGTTCAGGATCTGCCTCGCTACTCTTGCCAGAATCCAATAGAAATGCTCCGCGTTGATAACCAGCAGGCATCTATTGGATCCAGACTTGTAGATCTACCAAAACTTTCTGCTACTATGGAAGCTTGCTATTTGGCAGCGTACCTTAGTGCTTGCATGCTTTGCTGCAAAGTGTGGCGCCACTCCGTGATGCCTGTAAGTGAGAAGATAATAAAATGCTTGCAAAATCGTTTCTCTTTCCTTCCTTTCCATCAAGATTTTCTCTTTCCTGTTTTTTTTTCTTTCTTTATTTTTTATTTTCAAATGCTATCAAATTCTTAAATACGTTATGCTAACTTGCGATAAATAGTCTCATGTTTCTTTGAAACTGTTGCGTAAGCTGCAGGAGTCCAATGATGACATATTTTGGGATGAAAATCCGGATCTATTAATATGGATATCATACCTAGGTGGCTCATTCTCTCCAAGGGGAGTAATACACCTAGAATATAACATCATATTAAAAACCAATCATAATTCTAGATTTAAAGGGTTGTATCAGTCGCTGGAGGATTTGTTGGAAATATTGCATCGATATATTTGGTCAGAGAAGGCGTACCGTACGCAACTCGAAGAGTATTGGAAAGAGATTCAACTAGAGCTAGTTTAGCATCAATGAAGGACATCACTTTGATCAAATGTTTTTTAAATTAGCTAAAGTTGTAATATATACAGGTGCTTTGTAAGATTAAGGAATTCATCTATTGTATAAGCCTCAGACGAATCCATTACCATAGAGGTACCTCTTAGAGTCTTCTGTATTTGCCCTTGCTGGCAGTTGTCACATTGTTCCATTTAAATGTGGTGTCTATTCACGACGTATGTTTGATAATCATCTTCTAAGGTTGCCTCGTATCGTCTATGGATTTGAAATAAACAAATATAGTGAAAAAATTTCTGCCACTTTATTATCAGGTTCTTCACTGGATTTATAATTGGCGAGCTAATGCACGGAGCAAATAATAAGCAATTCGGCCGATTTAGTCCGTTCAAGCTAAAACCCCGCCAATCCCAGGCCAATAATAAGCGTGCTAATGTTCACAAGCCTGTCGCTAGCTTTTTTAGGAAGTTTCCTCTCGTCCCAAAGGGGAAATTCCTCAGCTTAGTCACTATTAGTCGTAAAAACAGACAGAACAGTTGAATGGGGCGTTTGGGGTAAACACAAAGAATAGAGGCAGCTCTCATTCGTAAAAAAGCCAGGAGTATAAATAAGGGCATTGAAATGCTCATTTACCTGAAGAAAAGAAAAACATTACATTCTTCAGCCAGTATTCGCTAAGTTACAGAACAGCTTGTCTGTAAAGTATTCTACTCATTTTTTTTTTAAACCTCTGCTTTTATTCTTACTGCAAACGCACAATTCCCCATAATGGCCGAATCACGCCTCTGGAAACCACTTAAAATTGCGGGAGTTGAGGTCAAACACCGTGTTGGTATGCCTGGTTTATCTCGCTTCCGAGGTACCGATGATCATGTTGCAACCCCTATGATGAAAGAGTATTACAGCCAACGATCTCAAGTCCCTGGAACCTTAATCATCACTGAGGCTGGTATTATCTCCCCCGGTGCGGGCGGTTATCCAAATGCACCGGGTATTTGGCGCGAAGATCAGGTCGCAGCTTGGAAAACGATCACCGACGAAGTCCACCAAAACGGCTGCTTTATCATTTGCCAAATATTTCATGTTGGCCGCGCCGCAGTTCCCGACATCGCTGAGAAGGAGGGGATTGAGATCGTATCCTCCAGTGCCATTCCTCACGGAGAAGGTGCCCCCGTGCCACGGGCCCTGACTGTTGAAGAGATCAAACAGATTGTGCATGACTTCGCAACTGCCGCAAAGAATGCTATTCGTGCAGGTTTTGATAGTGTTGAACTTCACGCTGGAAATGGCTACCTCCTCGACAGCTTCATCCAAGACGTCAGCAACACTCGTACAGACGAGTATGGTGGTAGTATCCAAAACCGGTCTCGTTTTGTATCCGAAGTCATGAAAGCCGTTGGCGATGCCATTGGACCACAGCGCATCGGAATCCGCCTGAGCCCTTGGAGTACATTTCAGGGAATGCGGATGAAAGAACCTATACCACAGTTTTCAGACGTAATTAATAAGGCAAAAGAGTTGGGTCTTGCTTATATCCATTTGATTGAGCCACGAGTCGCCAATAGTGATGACCTAGATCATCTAATTACCGAAAGCTTGGACTTTGCGATCAACTTATGGGGCGGACCAATCCTTTTAGCAGGCGGATATAAGCCGGATAATGTGCAAAAAACAGTTGATGAGACATATCCCGGCAAAGATATCATGGTTATGTTCGGTCGATACTTTGTCGCAAACCCGGACTTGGTGTTCAGAATAAAAAACAATTTAAATCTGAACCAGTATGACCGCAGCACTTTCTATGCTGTGAAAAACCCTCATGGATATCTCGACTATCCTTTTAGCTCTGAATTTCTCGCTAATACCAAAGTGTAATATAGAATTTAGTATTAATTGAGCTAAATAAATAATTACATGAACTTTACTTTGTGACAAAATGGTGTTTATTGGCTAATATCAGTAAGTTATTACCAAGGAACAAACATCTAGTTCCAGGTTTATATTAACAGAAAACTTGGGTCAGTGGTTGGTATTGTATTTGTATATAGCTAATTGAGTAGTACGAGGTTTCAATCTAATTGATGTACTAATAACTAGCTCTCTAAGCTCTCTAGATGCGCGTGGGCAAGTCAACTTATAGAGCAAGTTAGGTTTTCCAAATGTGATGGATTTCTTTATATCCTAAGTTAAATCTGTAGGGTATTTGTGGATCCTGCCCTGACACTATGGGCAGTTAATAAATCCTTTGCTATGTACTACATAGAGGTTAAATTTGATATCGAGAGGTTCAACAATGTTGTAACCGCTGGTTCAATAAAAGGCTATGCTCCACCCTTTGGCTATGCAATATATTATATAAAAATTCATTACGTTGTATTCATTTTGTAGCCCTATCATTACGACTAAAACAGTTGAGTCCTGATAAGTAGCTTAATATTTGTTGTAAAGAGCTATCTTCTTATAGCTGGGCAAATGTATAACTAATTGTATCTTACCGCTCAAACGAGGTCTCACCTTTCCGCTACTGAGCCTCCAGTAAGCCGTGCCCTACTTGCAAATCGTAGAGGTGTAGTAACGCGGTCGCTAACCCTCCCGACACTTTGTGCATAATCCCTAGAGTGAGATGAACACGAAATCGATGTTGAGACTCTATCTTCCGAAACTAGATCCACGACAAAACAGATCATCTCTAACCACTGGCAATTGACACATTGCTAACCACACCTTAATATACAACCTTCAAACTGTACACATATTTTTGCATTCATTCGAGGCGCAACACCGCCTTACCAAAATTCTTGCCCTCAAAAATACCTACTAAACCCTCGGCGGCATTGTCAATACCGTCGGTAAAGGACATTTTAGCCTTGACACTGCCCTCAGCTAGCCACTTCTGTAATGTAATAAGCAGGACCAAAGGCAGGAGTGAAGACGATGAAGCCTTGTATGTTGAGCTGCTTTGCAACTACTTGCATTAGGTTTCTGATGCCGAATTTGTCACCGTTGTATTGGCTGATCTGTTTTCAGAGTGTAAATAATGACGATTGGGAATTATTTGATGTCGGCTATTTACGTACCATTCCAGAGGCAGCAATTCTTCCAAAGACATTCATGTTATCCAAAGCAGCCTCGAGGTGCTCTCCGCCAACATTTTCATAGTAGATGTCGATGCCGTGAGGGGCAAGGCGCTTCATAGCATCGCTGGGCTTTTCCTTCTTGTAGTTGAAGCCGGCGTCGAGACCAAGCTCTTTCGTGATGTAGTCGAGCTTCTCATCGGACCTAATAGAGCCGATGACCGTGAGGCCTTCTTTCTTCGCAATCTGGCCAACGAACTGACCGACAGCACCAGCGGCGGAACTAATAAACATGGTTTCACCTTTCTTGGGCTGACCAATCTTATACAAGCTAGCCCAAGCAGTAAGGCCGGGCATACCCAGGGCACCAGTGAAAAGGGCCAAGTCCAGGTTATAAGGATTTTGTACCTTGATAACACTTTGTGCCTTTGGGTCCGTGATGGCAGCATATTCAGCAATGGGGGCCCGGGCCTTGATGATGTCTCCTTCCTGGAAATCGGAGTTGTCGCTTTTTAAGACCTTAGAAACAGTGTCGTTATAGATGGGTTCGTTAATAATAAATGGTGGGGAGTAGGACTTGATGCTGGGATCCCGCATCTTTATACCCAAGTAAGGGTCATATGAGGCATAAAGAATTCTGACAAGAAGACCCCCCCTAGGGGCATTATCGAGGTCAATTTCATGACTCTCGATAACGAGATGTTCGCCGGGTACCGGAAGGGTAATTGGTATCTTTTTGAAGATGAGCGTCTTGTTTGGGGTCATGGTGAAGATCCTGTTTTTTCACTAAAAGACAATAATTAATAATGCAAGATGATATGGGGTGTATTGCAACTATTTTCCGATATACTTTGCGCAATTCAATTGAATTCCATGAAGTAATATGAACACAAATATTCTTTACGATCTTTTGAGGAAATGGATGCTACTGATTATACACATCGTTCAAGTCTCCATGGGTTCCAAATTACGCAAAATGCCCTCAAAGATTTATAAGCGATTCCCCCATTACTCAGGTGGAGCAAAGGAAACCCCATGGTTGATTTCGGCTGAAGTGGGTGGGTTGACTTTGCGACTCTTTAAATGTGGCAATTCGAGATTGCATCGTTGCTCCGAGATTGTGTAGGAGGCAATCCCTATTACGGCGCGAATCCGGCGGCTGCATAACTCTCTGCTATGCCGCCTCGCCGCTGCAATCCGTGAGCGGGGTTCTAGGTAAATACATGTACCAAATATCTGAATCTACTCTATTTAACGACCATTACTAGGTGCTCTATTGTATTGAACTTGATAAATTTACGGCTGATTGAAGCTGCCACCGCTGTGGATAGAGTAAGTTCAATTGTAGCAGCGTTATAAACTTCGTATTAGTTGGTTCCTAATACCGAGGTACCGAGTTCCATTGCACTATTCGATTAGTGATCTACTAGCTAAGTCAGCTGCGGGATGTCATAATCGGCGCTATAATAATGCTGTACTCGTACGTCTTTTTAATTTTTACAAGAAAGATATATTAAGTCGCTTATGCTATTATTTAGGCAGTACAATATTAGAAGTTCTATATGTAGCGTTTGTTAATTACCAAGAACCGCACCTTTAAAGTAGCCCAGCAGATACTAAATGTAATCAAATACTAAAACCTATACAGCGTGTTTGTGTACAGCTGCGGAACGCATCTCTCAAGGCCAAAATACAACCAGCCTGAGATGGCACAGCGCAGCTACCTCGTATAACAGACGCTGTGTCTAATCCCTCTTCACCCCTTTCTGTTATTCCCAGTTTGACAACACCTTTGAACTGGCTCGACTCACACCCAAACGCCAAACTGGCTACCTGGCTCGTCCGATCGCTACGAGGACCACGGATCGAGAACAAGTCAGTGAATCATTTGATCTTGCTGCCGCAGCCTCATTCCTCCAAGAATGAGGCCACTGACATTGCTAGGAGCCATTTAAAGGGGAAACATGTCCTGTTAGTTCTATTTACTTTAAAGAAATATTTGCCTTTTGCATTAGTAAGTTGGTCTAGAACAACTTATACTTCAAATTTTTTATTACCACTTTTGTTATCATTCAACAATAAGGGATATCTGCTCTTTATTTTTTGACATGCGACGCTAATGGTAACTGACGTTAGTTATTTCCCCCGGCTTCTGCCATAAGCCAAAGGAAATGATTTTGGTTGATAGTAAATAATCGGGGCGGGATGCCCAATATTAAACAGCTATTGTCTCAGTGAACCCAATACATCGCGTCCCAGCAGTCGCAGCCCATCTCTTGCAAATGACGCTGCGCTGCCTCTTAACCGTAGCTCCCATTGCAAATCCTCCATCCGTGCAGTACACCACGTCTTGTCCTCTTTGTCCACGTCAGGTCTTGAGCCAAGAAGATTGATAAGCGCTCCAATTTCTGCTACCTGGTATGCGGCTGCGCTTCCCCAGAAAGAAGCCGTGTGCTCTGGTCGTAAGGCGCACAAAAAATCAACGCCCGCTTGCACCTTAGCCTTGCCAGTTTGAACGAGCACATCGCGTAGCGATTGCGGTGTATCGGGCGTCATAGCGCGGACCAGCGCGCGGTAAAGTGCAATTTCGACCGCGACGTAAGCCAGATGGAGAGCACCAACGGTACAGAGTTCGCGCATAGTATTGGTGTTATCAAGCAGAAGATATTGCGGCAGCGCAGTGTACCACTCGCGAATTCTAAGGCCCATTGGCTTGGCCAGTCCTACCCTTTCTACGATGCTCATTTGGTCAAGAGTACCGCCACGTCGACAAGCGGTAGCGCTGTAAAAAGTTGTTAAAATCTCGCTAAGCATTTGGGCTAGTTCTACTTGACGAAGAAACACCTCCCAGCCGACAGAAATGGCTGTCTGATGTTGCCCATTGGCTCGAGGATGTAGATCCGGGTAGTCGGCTTGTGTACATGACACAACGGCCCAGTCGGGTTGGTGGATGAGAAACGGTCGTCCGTTGATGTACGAACCCCAACGATCCTGCGTATAAAGTGCCCAGGCCAATCGTCGACGTAGTCCTATTTCCCACCTAGGAATCGACCAAGAGCTACAGTCAAGGTGAATGCCAAGGTCTTGCGCTACAGTGACTAATTGGGCAATCAGCATGCGATTGGACGCGAAGTTATTCGCGAGACCACTCTGTGCAGCGCGGCGGCTGCGGTGCAGGAGTAGAAGCCCAGCCTCGAGAGTACTCAGCTTAGGTCGACGCATATCATTTGCAATAGTCCTCATGGCCAGTTCCTCGAGTGCCTTGGCGTCTGGCAGTAAATTCTCCTCGCTGGCAAGGCAAGTATCGTACAATTGCCAATCCAGCGCTATTAGGTAGACAGCTGCTAATAGGGAAGGGGCAAAGTGATGGTGTGAAGCGCGGTACTTGGTGATGAATACATCTTTGTGCAAGATGGGAAAACTGGGATGTACGATTCGAAAGTACAAATCGACGAGGGTTGAGCCCCATGGTCGAGCAATAGCTTCGACGGCGTCGACATCTGCGATGCGCTGTGCTTCTGAGGCAGATAACTCATCTGCGTGAACAAGGAACACAGTTTTGTCGTCGAGGCGGCGTTTGTTGGATGATTCGGATTTAGATGTACCAGCACCTGAGAGTCGGAGGTCTGTCAACCCGATATACTCTGCATGAGTCGTGAGATCCAGCCCTAGAGTGTTGCTCAATACCTCCGGGTCCGGTTGAGCAATCGTTTTTGTGTAGGGGTCCGATCCCGACAATGCCGCAATATCTGCCGTCCGCCCAGCACCCCTCCGGGAGTGCGATGGTGAGCCTTCTGAGCTAAGTGGCGATACAGCCAAGTAACTAGGGTGATCAAGATCGACGTCCTGCTCCTGCGGTTCGTGTTGGGCTGCCACAGACTCACGGCGAGTACGTGACGGCGGCGCGTGCACAAATGTGCATGACTGGTCGTGAAAGGTACACAGCACACATCGCGGCTGACCTTCTTGTCGCACGCAGCGCGTCTTTCGAATAGGACATGTATCACAAGGTCTTGAGCGATTAGACCTCCGCCTCCGCTGTTGTGTGGCCTTGGAAGGTTGATGAGCAGGACTTTGCGCATTGGGCGACAACATCGATGTTGAGATGCGCTTGGACACCTGGAGTCTGGAGTACAAAGATGGGTCGCGCCATGAAATGCAATGTGGAGCAATCGTTGACACTCCGCAGATAGTAATTGACTGCTGTGATTTGAGCCAGATCTTTGAGGTTTCGTAATCGCGGCCCCGCTGAACCGATTGATGGCCAGAAAGATAAGATAAAGATTAGTAGATGAGTGATGTAAGAGGACTACGATGCCTTGGGGCTATGTACCTACCCTATAAAGATACTGTTGATACGTGATCCGGAACCCTAGAAGCCCTACGGCTCCCAGTGGCCGGCGGCCGAGTTGCGCCGGCGGCGGTATGCCATATAGGTACCTAGGTACATGTACTTAACGGCCATTTTGCCTACAACACTCCCTTCGGCTTTGATATCGCCTGCCGGCGCGATCATTCATTATCGCGCCGGCAGGCGATATACTTACCTGTACCCATCATGATGGAGCTTCAATAGCATACGTTAATGAGGTCGCTTGCACTCCTGAGAGAATATGTGCTCAATGGTGGTTTATCTATAAACCAAGCATTTCCTCCCAAGTGACCTTGCTGCTACCAGTCTTCATTTGCCTTCTTCAGACCCGAACAAGGGGCATCTGTCAAAACCTTTCCTACCCTACGACAAATTCGATGAAGACGGCATTCCTTGTATCAATACATCCTTAACCCAGAGGGCAACACCGTAATCGACGTGAAGAATGACCCAAATCGGTCAATCACGCGAGGGTCAGCTCCCCCTCCTCATCCAAGAATGGAGGGCAGTCCAGGCATTAGGTAGCGGTTTGCAAAGACTCTACTCACTCGTTGAGAGGGAGCGCAGCTCTAATGAAGCGACGCATGCATGGATCAGTATTTCTACAGACGAGCAACTCAAGGAACAGTGGGACCGCCTACATGCCTCACATCATGAGCCAACTTCGCTCCCTTTGTACGGCGTCCCTTTTGCCGCAAAGGACAACATAGATGTCTCAGGCTTCGCAACTACAGCAGCTTGCTCGGCATTTGCCACCACTCCAGCCACCGAAGATGCTCCTGTCGTTGCCAGACTAAAGGCAGCAGGTGCCATTCTCATTGGCAAAACCAATCTCGATCAGTTCGCAACAGGCCTCGTCGGAACTCGGTCACCTTTCGGGGCTGTTCCCAACAGCTTCGACCCTACGAGGGTAAGCGGTGGATCTAGTTCGGGCAGTGCTGTTGTGGTCGCACGAGGAGCTGTCCCATTCTCCCTGGGAACTGACACAGCAGGATCCGGCCGTGTTCCCGCTGGCCTGAATAACATCGTCGGCTTGAAACCCACACGTGGTGCTCTGAGCGCTCGGGGAGTGGTACCGGCTTGTCGGACACTAGACTGCGTGTCTATCTTCGCACTCACTGTAGATGATGCTGAGACGGTCTTGTCTGTCGCAGAGGGACATGACGTGCAGGACTCTTACTCAAGAATCCGGCCGTTGGGCACCAGACACACTTCAGACTCTGGATTCGGACCCAAGGCGAATGAAACACTACAGCCTGTGTTGGCTATCTGTGCTAATCCACCTTGGTTTGACCGCGATGACCACTCCCCCCGGTATGAAGCCGCCCTCGATAAGGCTAGATCACTCGGATGGGTACTCCAGCCTGTCGACTTTACCTTGCTCTTCGAGCTCGCATCATTGCTTTACTCTGGCCCATGGGTCGCGGAGCGTTACCAAGCCATACGAGCCTTTATCCAGAACACCGAACCAGACCAAATGGACCCTGTCGTACGCAAGATCATCAAGAAAGTGGAGAACTTTTCCGCCACGGACGCTTTTGAGGGCGAATACAAGAGGCAAGATCTGACGCGCCAGATCGAGCTGGCATTTGCTGCATATGACGGCATCCTTGTGCCTACTACACCCACATTTCCAACCCTTGAACAAGTCTCGCTCAGCCCTGTGGAGGAGAACTCACGACTTGGTACCTATACCAACTTTGTAAACTTTCTAGACTGGTCCGCCTTGTCGGTTCCTGCGGGATTTCGACATGATGGACTGCCGTTTGGGATCACATTGATCGCAAACAAATGGCAGGAGCCACACCTGTTGAAATGGGCCCGGTTATGGCTGGCTGGCCAGACGAGAATACTCGGAGCTGTGTCTGCGCGCTGTTTTGAGCCGACACCTTCGAAACTCGGAGAAGCGCACACTTTAGAGAATATATCCAAGAAGAGGATTATCGTCGCCGTAGTGGGTGCTCATCTCTCGGGCATGCCTCTAAACAAGGACCTTGTCTCATGTGGTGCTGTTCTTAGCCGCAAGACGAGAACGTCGAATCGTTATCGCTTATTCGCGCTTCAGAGTAAAAGCGGTCCGGCTCGGCCAGGTCTGCAGCGCGTGCAAGGTGCACAAGTTGGGGCAGAGATTGGTGTTGAGTTATGGGAATTGCCCGAGGCAGCCTACGCTAGCTTTGCCAACACCATTCCTTCGCCACTTTCTATAGGAAAAATAGAGCTTAGAGATCAATCTTGGGTCTCTGGCTTTGTTTGTGAGCCGTATGGACTTGATGGAGCTGTCGACATCACGCGTTTTGCAGATTGGCGGTCCTACATCAGTCACCTTAATCAGCCAGAGCCAGCCTCTTTAGGTTCAGTGTCCACCGTGTTGATAGCAAATCGTGGAGAAATTGCTGTACGAATCATAAAAATGTTACGCAGGTTGGGCCTCAAAGCAGTGGCGGTATACTCGAGCGTCGACGCCGACTCCCCTCACGTCAAACTTGCCGATCTGTCCTACGAGCTCAAGGGCCAATCTGTGGCTGAGACCTATCTATCTATCAACCAGATTCTTACCATTGCAAAGTCTGCAGGAGCGAACGCTATCATTTCAGGTTATGAATTTCTGGCTGAAAATGCCGATTTCGCCAACGCTGTTGAGGAAGCTGGTATGATCTGGGTAGGCCCTACTCCAGCACAGATGGTCGACCTTGGCCTAAAGCATTGCGCGCGCGCCATTGCAATTGAATCTGGTGTCCCCGTAGTTCCTGGTTCTAAGGGCGTATTGACGTCACTTAACGACGCACTGGCTGAGGCAGAGACCGTGGGCTACCCACTCATGCTTAAGAGCACGGCTGGTGGCGGTGGTATTGGTTTAAGGCGTTGCGCAAACGAGGCTGGGTTAAGGGACGCCTTTGAAGGTATCCAGCGTCAGGCAGTGGCTAACTTCGGTGACGGGGCTGTCTTCGTAGAGCGCTTCGTCGAACTGGCGCGCCACATTGAGATCCAAGTCATCGGAGACGGCAATGGAGCGGTTGTCACGGCTGGTGAAAGAGACTGCACGCTTCAACGACGACACCAGAAGGTTATTGAGGAAAGCCCTGCCATGATGGTGCCGGAAGAACAACGTGCGGCCATGAGGGCTGCTGCTGTACGGCTGGCTGCCCATGTGCGGTACCGTAATGTTGGCACGATTGAATTCATCTATGACGTGAAGAAGCACGAGTTCTACTTCCTCGAAGTCAACACTCGCTTGCAAGTTGAGCATCCAGTAACTGAGCTGGTGACTGGCCTAGACCTTGTAGAGTGCATGCTGCAAGTTGCTGCCGGTCAAAAGCTCGAACTCTTCAATAGCCCAGTCAACCATCTTCCAACAACAGGGGCGTCTATTGAGGTAAGATTGTATGCTGAGAGCCCTCTCGAGCAGTTCCGTCCATGTGCTGGGACGGTGAGCAAACTCAATTGGCCTGAATCTCTACGCGTCGATACCTGGATTGATGAGGGCACCCACGTTACGACGCTCTACGACAGTATGATAGCCAAGCTCATTGCTGTGGGATCGAACCGTCGTGATGCTCTAGAGCAACTCGCAGAGGGCCTGAATAATACTGTTGTTGAGGGTGTTCAGACAAATCTCGAGTATCTACGGCAGATCGTGGCGTCAGAGTTATTCTCTTCAGGACACTTTCATACGAAGTCACTGGACTTATTTCAATTCATCTCTTCCGCTTTTGAGGTGATTGAATGCGGTGGGGGTGTGTCTGTGCAGGATTATCCTGGCAGATCTGGTTACTGGAATATTGGTATTCCACCCAGCGGTCCAGCTGATAGTCTTTCTTTCCGCCTCGCCAACCGACTTGTGGGCAATGACGATGATGCTGCGGGACTTGAATGTACGCTACACGGACCTCATCTAAAGTTCTATCGCGAGGCATTGGTTGCCGTCACTGGCGGCGAAGCACTCCTACTTATTGACGAAAAGTCTGCCCCTCTGAGCACGACTTTGCGCATTCAAGCCGGACAAACATTGCACGTGGGTGCTATCACAGGTGGTTACCGTGTTTACATTGCTATTCGCGGTGGTATCGATGTCCCGTCCGTCATGGGTAGCAGATCAACCTTTGAACTAGCCAAAATGGGCGGCTACAAGGGTCGCGCGCTTTTCCCACGGGATATTGTTCGCATAGGCAATTCCGACACCAAGACGATCAGGTTGTTGTCTTGTCCTGTGATCTCGATTCCAAAGCAGGTTGACGGTAGAAGCTGGAAGATTCGTGTGCTCCCTGGCCCACACGGAGCCCCTGACTACTTCACCCATGATGGCCTCGCAAAACTGTTCTTCAGTACCTGGAAGGTTCACCATAACAGCAACCGCCTCGGCATCCGACTTTCAGGCCCCAAGCGGGAATGGGCGCGCGATTCGGGAGGCGAGGCAGGGCTACATCCGTCCAATATTCACGACAGTCCTTATTCTATTGGAAGTGTAAGCTTCACAGGTGACGAAGCAGTTATTCTCGGATGCGATGGACCGAGCCTTGGAGGATTTGTCGTCTTCGGCGTAATCATCTCGGCAGATCAGTGGAAAATGGGGCAGTTACGTCCAGGAGAATCGGTATCGTTAGAACCCATCTCTTCTGAAGCAGCATTGAAGCTGGACAGCGAATTTCAGCACGCAATAGCGCAGATCAGGCTGCCATACGACCTCGGGATTGAAGAAACAGTCAACACCCCTGCCCTTGATGACCTGGAGGCCGTTCTCGGAAACACGACACATAATGGCCACGACTACATTTGTCGCCAGGCTGGAGATAACGCACTGCTCATAGAGATCGATGGCGGTTCTGACTTCGACCTTGCGAGAAGCTTTGAGATCTTTTCATTCTGCGACCGCCACCGCGAATGGCCGATTTCTGGCGTCAAAGAACTTACGCCGGGTGTGGGTACTATTCATGTCATTTATGATCATGGGCTACCAGCTGATACCTTGATCGACCGGCTCTTCGATCACCTAAAAACATGTCAGTCAAGACGCAGTATCCCCTCAAGAACAGTCCGACTACCTCTTGCCTTCGATGATGCCGTCTGCCGGGCGGCTGTAGAGCGCTATGCTTCTACAATTCGTGGCGAGGCTCCTTGGATCCCAAGCAACGTTAACTTTTTGCAGGAGTTGAATGGCATGGATAATATATCAGTGCTCTTATACAGTGCGACTTTCCTGGTGGTGGGACTTGGCGACGTATTCCTTGGCTCTCCTTGTGCAGTGCCGCCCGACCCCCGTCACAGATTATTCGGAACCAAGTACAATCCCTCACGCTCTTTCACACCACGTGGGGCAGTAGGTATTGGTGGACAATACCTCTGCATTTATGCCACTGACTCACCAGGCGGATACCAGCTTGTTGGAAGGACAAAAGACATATGGGCGCCGCCGGAGACTCTACCGTCATCTGGTGATCAGCCACCTTGCCTGTTCCGCCAATTCGATCGCATCACCTTCTACCCGGTGACAGAGGATGAGCTGGATAGCCAACCAGCGGATAGGTTAATTCAGATTACTGAGGGCGAACTGGATCTCGCATGGTACAAATCTCTATTAGCCAATAATAAGGAGCTCATCGCGCAACACCGAGCGCAGCAAAAAGCATCAATCCTCAACGCCCGTTTCCTTGAGGATTTATCAAAACCATACATTCCCAAATCCCAGACGATGAAGGGATCTCCCAAGAGGGAGTGTGAGAGTGCTCCTGGCGCACAAGTACCTTCAGCGATACCTGGACGTTGCTTTGAAGTGCATGTACGGCCTGGACAGAAGATTATCAAGGGCGATCCACTAATAAGCATCGAGTCGTCCAAGATGGAGATAGTTATCCGGAGCCCCCATGATGGAACATGTGGTGCTGTGCTGGTTGAGGCTGGCGACAATGTCGACGCTGGAGATGTGTTGGTAGTTATAGATTAAACCAGATTACGCGGGCTTATGAAGCAAGTTTAGCTGTACGTATGACTAAACGTGCCATTTGGCGCAACTTCTGGTGTTATCTTTTCATAAGGTGCTGTTATTTCGCCGAGCGAGAGTCCATTTGTGAAGACTGAGCATCCTGCTGAATCCTGCAATGAATCCTGGCCCTCAGCTTGATGTGTTTTGCTATTAATAGACTTGCGTCAGCTCCCTGATGGTTCCAAAGATGGCCGCCTCACAACTAGGGCTGGTACTGCTCCACTCTTTGAGCAATACTCCGAGGATCACCGACCTGTAAGATGGCGTCCTTCGCAATGAAGAGTGAGTAATATGCTAGGTTAAATGATGGACAGACACTTATAGGGGTTAGCTTTGAAATTAATATGAGAGATTCAACAAAGCTGCGATAGCTGGAGCAATAAAGGGCTATGGTTGGACAGACGCTTACTACAAACTCATGGTATTCTTGACAGAAGAGCAAAGGATGTACAAAGTGGAAGCATTTAAGTGAGATTGCATGACTATGAGATTATCGCTCTTCATTTGAGGTACTAGTCGGTACTTGATTTAACATTTGCTCAGGCCGATAAACTCAAATATTGCTGGGCTGGTAAATTGCGAGTGGCCGGAATAGCATACTCGGTGCTAATGTGTCAACGAAATCTACGCCATCTTCTTCATCTTTCATAAATATATTTTGGATCTTTCGCAGCGATTATGTTCCACACCATTGAAGGAGCTATGCACACGGGATTTGTTGGCAGCCATGGAGCGCCTCTTTCAGCTGGCTACCAACACCAAACACAACAACAGAAATGTCAGCTTGCTTAAGCCACTGAAAGGACAACGCTCCAATGCAAGGTAGACGATAATCAGGCTCGGCTGCTGGGGTTGCATTTCTCTTGGAATAAAGTCTCCGGCACAGCTAGGGGTCGTTTTGAAATGAAAGTTTGTCTTGTTTCTTCTACCGATTGTTTCTGCCATCGAGTTGAAGGAAATATTTGTCTGATTTATCTATCTTACAAAAGCCGGGATGGCCTTAATTTAGGTACCAATCTCATCTATCATTCGATTATGGAGTACAAGACTGGTCAAATAGCCTTATCAAACTATATTAGTGCTTATTTATCTTCAGGGTACCTGTTTATATATAGCGGATGCCTAAACTGCTTGTGGTTAACGAAGAACAACACTGATTCTGGATTGGTTTCTTTCTTGTCACTAACATTAACGGAGTAGACATCGATTGCTTGAGCCTGGTCTATTTTCAGTGCTTATTTGCGTCACCGACATTTTTTTAGCTTATACTGAAACCTAGATGGTGCGCATGAATCAGCTCCAAGATAATTAGCTCTTCAATACAATAACCAAATGTGATTTGTGGCAGATGAGTAAGACTAGTATGGTTTCCAAAAATATTTCGCACTACATAGCTGAGTGAAAATGAACATGTTTCTTCGGGATCGTAAGGTATATCATCTATCAACCGATGTTCAACCTTCTCCCAATACCATGTTATATAGCCACACAACATACACACACACATACAGCATGCAACATAATATGACATCTATTTTGTTCCAAGCAGCCTGCGTCGCGAGTCTGTTACCCCTGGCCATGGCCGACATTGGCACAGGGGGATTTCTAGCTGTTGGTAATAAAGCGCCATGGGGACTTCCAGACAGTTGTTTTCGGCCTTCATCGCAGGCCAATGCTACTGGTTTATTTAGCATCCCGGCATTCAATCTGTCCTCATCGAATGAGTCTTTGGAGGGAGATGGGCATAAGTGGAACATCGAGATATCGCTTCAGGCCAACATTCCACTCAATGGCTCTACTGACAAAAGCCTCAGCGCTGCTCAGAAAGAGGAGTTCACCCAGTTCGTCTCCATGAGCCTCAATAACGTAGAAAAAACAGAGGTTGAGAAGGTTGCGGGTGTGAACCGGGTGTGCGGCTACATCTTCTCTGGTCTCAATATTAACGCGACAGCGGATAACCAGGACGATGCGAGCAAAGGCGGAAACTGTGGCTTTTTCTCACGGCAATGCCGAGAAGACTTGCAGAGTGCGGTTCAGCAGCAAGCAACCGATTGTGGTTCGGCTACTGTACCAGACTCTTGTCGCGACTGGCTCGGTCTGTCTCCGTCTGGGAACCAAGTCTTACAAGTGGTTTCGTTTGGTAAGTTGATGGCACCGTCTGATATGTATAGGGAGAGGGGAAGGTAGATGGAGCTGACCCATCCAAGAGTTTAACGAGAAACTGCTCGCTGGTAGCCGCTTTTTCACCTTTGGCTTTCCGCCGGCATCGGAGAATAACGAAACAGAATACGATACTGCCGTTAGAAACATCTGGCCAGTACTCTTCACGTGGAGCCACGCATCCGGCACGTCAGACAATATCACCATGGCCGCATCAACACTACGCTGCCTGCGTCCCAGCAACGTTACCAGCGGCAGCCGAGATCCCAATGAGTCAAGCAAGGGAAGCAATGGAGACAAAGGAAGTAGTGATCACCCTGGTGCTGCTGGTACCAATTCTGTGCCAACGCTTGCGGCGACGCTGCTGTTGACAGCTTTCGCTTCTTGTCTTATATTTTTGTAAATTGAAAATCCACTGTCTGATGTTTTGGAGAAGGAGAGATCTGTTTGAGATTATGGCGAGCGCGTGTATAATGTGTAATCATCCCTCCGATTAATACCCAATGGCTGACTACCAACGTTAACTTTTTAGGGCAAGTTCTAGACTCAGGGAGCATTCATGAAGCGGTTCCAGTGGAAGAGAGCATTTATTTAGCTAGATCGAAGTCATCATAACATATGTCTTAATCAGAATGATACTCCCATTGTAGCAGCGATTTACTTAATGATCTGCTCAAGTCGCTCTCTTTCGGGTAAACCAATCTTTTTTTTTTTTTTTTTTTTTTTGAGATTATACGGAGTATACAAGGGAAAACCTCGAACGAACCAAATACCTACGTGCGGCAGGGGGGGTTTCTGAAATGGGTTCTGGTGTAATTGCTCCACAAGATGCAACACCTTTCAATTTATAGCCAAAAGGGATTCCCAATTACTCTGCTATTTAGCCCTGCAGGCCATGGAGCATCCATGAATATGAGCCCAGCCACACGTACACTGCAGTTTGGATCGTATAGTTTCGCCGGTGCAATTATGGAAATGCTGATGACTTTAATTTATGGCGGCTGTATTTGCATACCATCTGACGAAGAGAGAGGTAACTTGACTCAGGCAATCAATAGACTGAAGGCCAATTGGGCCTTCTTGACATAAACGGTTTTGGGGTCAGTGCGGCAACAAGATGTCCCATCTCTTCAAACAGTCTGCGTGGGCGGCGAACGCATCTATCTATCTCAAATTCAAGAATGGGCGCCAAATGTTCATTTACGGCAAACCTATGGCAGCTCAGAGACGTCTGCGGTTGTATCATCTGCAAGGCTCACTGTTTTGTCGGCACCTACTGAAGTTGGGAAGGCTGCAACCGGCAGATATTGGATTGTCGATCCAGTAAATCTCAACCGTCTTATGCCAATTGGAACACCTGGAGAGGTTATTATCGAAGGACCAACAATTGGAAGAGAGTACCTTGGAGATCGTGAAAAAACCGCTGCCGCTTTTATTGACGCCCCAGCTTGGAGATTCTCATTCGGACCATTCAGCGGCTCAAAGTTTTACAGGACAGGGGACATGGCAGCATATAATATGAATGGGTCGATCCAACTGCTGGGGCGAAAAGACACCCAAGTTAAGCTTCGCGGCCAGTGAATCGAGATTGGTGAGATTGAATGCCAAGCAAAACTAGCGACTGTTGAAATATTGGAAGTCGTGGTAGAGATCGCCCTCTTAGATCATGGTATGTCAAAGAGCTCATCTTTGGTATGCTTTCTGAGATTACAAGCAGACGGCAACACAGGAGTATGTGATCCGATTAAGAGAGTCAGATCATCTAGAGAGAGTGTTGCCTGCGTATATGGTTCCGTCTATTTTTATTCCCATGGAAAGCCTACCTTGGACACCATCAGGTAAGACGGATCGGCGTCAGCTAAGAGCAATAGCATCTGCGCTATCCACACAAGAAATAACGCGCCTAAAGACATCTCTACACGAGGTTAAACGGTCGCCACGGACAGAGATAGAAATTCGCCTCCGAGCGTTATGGGCCCAAGTACTCAATTTGAAAGAAGAGAGCATCGGAATTGATGATAGTTTCTTCCATATTGGCGGTGATTCTATCATTGCAAAGCAGCTTTCATCTGCTGCACGTGTTTCATTAGGCAACATTTCTATGATGGATATTCTCCAAGAGAAGACAATATCCCGTCTAGCGGTTACCATGGCCTTGAAAGGTTCATCTGACTTCTCCGTGGGAAATGTCGAAAACGTTCATCAACCTTTTCAATTAAGCCCCATTCAGCAATTGTACGTATTGCTGGAACCAAATCCCAGTCGCTGCTTTGATCAAGGATTTTACGTAAAATTGCGCTCATATGTTTCATATGACGCACTAGCAAGTGCGATGGAGGCCGTGGTATCAAGGCATGCAATGCTGCGCGCCCGATACAGTCGAACCGAGAACGGTTGGAAACAGCGCATTGTCAGCGATATCATTGGTTCGTTCCATATCAGCGAGGTACATGCTCAAGATTCGTCAGATAGAACGCAGGGTATACGCCACTGTCGCGAGCTGCTTGACATCAAGGACGGCCCAGTTCTTTCTGGCGTCCTACTTCATAATGTTGAGTTTCAAACACTATATATCACAGCTCATCACCTCGTTGTTGACTTGGTGTCATGGCGTATCATATTGCACGAGCTTCAAGAGCTCGTAAATGCTGGGCATATATCAATTTCTCCGACAATGAGCTTTCAATCATGGACTACAATGCAGTCAAAATATGCCGCCGATCTAAGCAGCGCGACATATAAAGCCCAACCACCGCTACTATCTTTCTGGGGTATAAATTCTAATGCTGTGGTGGAAGGCGCAACAGCATCAAATCGCTTCGCTCTCGATGAAATAGTTATTGCAGCGATCCTTGGTACTTGTAACGCTGCTTTTAATACACGTCCGCTGGAGCTTTTGGCAGCAGCACTACTTTATTCTTTTCACACTGTCTTTTCAGAACGCCCTCTCCCAGATATCTTCACAGAAGGTCACGGTCGTGAACCTTGGAATGACGAGATTGATGTTTCTCACACTGTGAGCTGGTTCACTACAATTTTTCCCATATGCGTAGAGATGGAGTCCATTTCTGATGTCAGTTTATCGCACACTGTACGTAGTGTCAAGGATTGGATCCGAGCACTATCACAGAATGGCTGGTCACACTTCACCTCACATTTCGCCGACTCTGACCAGGCAAAAGTAAATGCAGCGCAGTTTCCGGTTGAAATTCTGCTCAATTTTGTCGGTTCTTTTCAGCAGCTAGAGAGAGATGACTCGCTCTTTGAAAATCTTGCACTTCCTGCTGGCTGTGAGCCAGAGCCCTATTCCGGATTAAGGTGGTTTGCAATATTTCAAGTGGAAGCTCAAACAGATAAGGGGTGTTTATCGGTCACAATTGACTATCCACAGAAACTATGTCATCATGACAAGATTACATTATGGGCCAAGCAGTATCTAGCAACACTTCAGCGACTCACAGTGCTCCCGCAGAGGCAAGTAGAGTGGACACTAGCGGATTTCCCCTTGGTATTCAAGACTTATGAGAGTATTACTGAGTTCCAGAGTCGAGTTTTCCCGCAGCTTGGTTTAACTGGCACTAGAGACATAGAAGATATTTATCCTTGCTCGCCAGTGCAAGAAAGCATCTTGAATGCACAAGAGAAAGACTCCAGAAATTATCGATCAGTAATGAACTTTGAAATGACATCTTCTCACGCCAAGATCGATATCATGAAAATCAAGGAAGCCTGGAGGAGAGTTGTGGGGAAACATCAGCTTTTACGCGCCGTGTTCGTTAAAAATGAGTCGAGGAGCCCAGGTATGATAACAGTTATTCTGAAATATCGGGAATCCGAAGTGCCATTGAACGGAATGGACGTTGCAATCCTCGCCAAGGAACGTTTGGATGGGTTACTCCTAGTAAGCTATACAAAACACGGACTGCAACACCATTTATCTATTAATCCAATTGATGGGAAAAGGGAACATCTTTCCCTTGAGATGAACCACGCAAATTTTGATGCTTATTCCATTTCGAACATACTTATTCACGACCTCCAATTAGCGTAGAACGGTGACCTCGATCTAGGTGGTCCCATTTATAGGGACTTCATCGGGTATATTTTCGAAGGTACCAGAAAGTAGATCAACGGCTCCTTTTGGATAAATTATTTAAAATACATCGGAACTACCCTATTAAGCTTCACCAGTGGCCCCCAAGAATTAGAAAAAGCAATGTTCACTATCCATCTTGAAAATATTGCTGCGGACAAAGTGCACCAATTCTGCGCGGATGCGGAAGTTACACTAGCAACTCTTATTTAGACGGCATGGGCACGTGCTTTACATCAATACACAAGATCAGAAGCGCCATGCTTTGGATTAATGGCTACAGGACGTGACATTCCTGTGAAAGGAGTTGGCGAAATTTTTGGTCTATTCACCAATGTAATACCTTTACAAGTTCAACTGGATACAAATGTATCGATGATCGAAACGCTACAAAAGACACAAGGAGCCTATATCAACAGCTTGCAGTACCAAGCTTATCCCCTTGATCAAGTATATGAATCATTGAATATTGGCACCACTGGTTTATTCAATTCAGTACTATCTATCGAAAAGCAAATACCAGAGTCTGCCAGATCCGTACAGCCATGTTCCCTACGGTATATAGGCGGACATGATCCAGTAGAGGTACGTAGTATGGTATGGGGGTGGCATGGACTAAAAGTAAATAAGCTAACAAACTAAAAGTTTAGTATTGCCGTCGAAGTATTATATAACAGCCAGCAAATCGATATTAAGATACAATTTAAGGAGAAATATATTTCTCGCTTGGAGGCAAACAGAATATGCAATACACTTTTTCGAACAATTCATAGTATATTAAATAGATAATATTTCAACACTTATCATCATAGTATGAATATATTCTAAATTTTGACAAGTTATTTTTTATCTTATTTTCTTAAAAATATACTCTTAGTTGTGCAGGTTAAATTGAATATCAAGATGAGAGGTTCAATGCTGTAACAGCTGATACTTTTAGTTATAATAATTTATTATATTATTTAGCTTATAGAGTAAAAAATACTAAGTTATAAGCTTCCCTTTTCTATTTACAAATATTTCCCTTTTATGTTAAAAGCTGTACAGCGGAGGCATCCTCATTAAGTCCTCCGCCTAGTCTATGTGTAACGTCCTGATCCCTATTCTTAGTATAGGGTAAGGGTTCCTAAGGTAATAAACCTAAGTTATAGGTTTATATTAGCAGAGAGGACAGAAAGTGGCTTTTAAGCAGTTATAATTATAAGTGTATAAAAGTAAAATAAAAAAAGTAATTTATATTTAGTTTTAATACTTTATTAATAATTAGCTATTTAAACTATTTAAATAAACATAATAAAATAAATTTATATATTTAGTTATTTTTATATTTTTATTTAAATTTATATTATTATATTTATAAAAATAAAACTATTTTTATATTTTTTAAAGTATATATTATTATAAAATAAAAAAAATTATATTTTTATTTATTACTTTTGCTTATACTTTTGCTAAAATATATACTTTTATTAAGTTAAGTTATAATATAATATTTTCTTTTATTAATTTTACTTTTAAAATTTATATATAAAATATAATTTAATTTTATAATAATTTAATTTTATAAATCTTTTTTTTTATATTTATTATATTTAAGGGTATTATTAAATAATATTCTTTTAATTTAAAAAATAAATTAAATTATTATAAAATAGTAGTTTTAATAATTAAAATTATTAAATTTTTTATTATATTTTATTTTTATTATAAAGTTAATAAATTATTTTATAAAATAATAATTAAGTATTTAAAGTATAAAAAATATATTTATTATAATTATATTTATACTAAAAATAGAATTTTATTAATTAATAATAAATAATTTTTTTTTTAATTAATAATATTTATATTAATTTTATAATATAATATTTAGTTATTAAAAAAAATATATAAATATAAAAAAATACTAAATAAAATAAAAGCTATTATAATAATAATAATAAATAATATTATTAATTTAATAAATAAATAAAAAATTTATATAATTAATTAAGTTAAAAAAGTAATATAAATAAATTAATATTTATAAAAAATAAATATTTTATAAAAGTATTTATTTTTTTAAATAAATTAAATAAAATAAAATAAATTAAGTTAAAAACAATTATTAATATATAAGCCTTCAGTAGGGTTAATATAATTAATTAAAATACAGTTTTTAATAATATAGCTTAAGTTTTTAATAAAACTTTTTTATTAATATTTAAAAATTAAAGCTTTTAATAAGTTTTTAAGTATTATAAATAAGTCTATAATTTTCCTATTAAATTAAATATTTTATTTTATTATTATATTTTAGGTTTTAATATATAGTAAATATTTTTTTTATATTTTAATTTTTTTCTTTTTTAAATATTATAATTTTATTTAAAATTAATTTTTTTATTTTTTTATTAATTTATATTTTTTTTAATAATAATATATAAAATATTAAGTAATTTAATTTTATATTTTTTAATATTTTAAATTTATAATTAATTTTTTTAATTTTTTTTAAAATTTTAAATAGTTTAATTTTTTTAAAGTTTAATTTATTATTTAATTAATTTATTTTAATATTTAATATTTTATAACTTTATAAATATTAAATTAAATAAACTATATTTTTTTCTTAAAGGTTTAGTTTTTTAATTTTATTTTAGTTTATATAATATTTTATATAATTTTATATAAATTTAAGCTAAATATATAGTTTTTTATATAAATTAATTATAAATTTTATTTATATTTATATTTTATTAATATTTAGTTTTTTAAAGGGGGGTCTATATATTAAAAGTATATATTTATAAAATATATAAAATAATATTAATTTAATAAATTTAAATTTTATATTATTATAATAAAGCTAAATAAAAAGTAATTTTTTAACTTAATTATTTTATTTAAAATTAATATAGTATTATAAGTATTATTTAATAATTTAGTTTATTTTTTTTTTTTTATTTATTTATAAATAGTAAATAGTATTAAGTTTATAATTAACTTTAAGTTTTATTATTAATTTTTACTAAAACTTAAAAGTAAATATTTATTTTTTATTTAAAATAATTTTTTTTAATAAGCTGTAATTAATTATTATTATTTTAATATAGGTATATATAAAATCTTCTATATTATATAATTTTTTATATAATAGGAAGTATATTTATTTTATAAATTTATTTATTATTATAAATATACTATTATAAATAACTTTTATAAAGGGTTTTTATAATATTAGTAGGTTTATAATATAGTTAAATATAATAATTTCCTAAAGTAACTTTAAAATTAATAAAAGTTATAGTATTTTATATAATTTATATTATTTATATTTTATTTATTAATATTTATTATATATTAATATAATATTAACTATTATTTTTTTTATTTTTTTAAATAAATAAATAATATATATTTATTAATTTATAATTATAATTCTTTAATATTTAAATTAAAAATATTTATAAATATATTTTATAATTTTTTTTTATAAATTTAATAATATTTAATATTTAATTTTAATTATTAATTAGCTATTTTTGAATGTAATTTATAAAAGGAATTTATTTTTTATTTAATTTTTAATATATTTTTTAATTTTTTTAAGTATTTTATTATATTTTTTAATTTAATATATTATATATAATTCTTTTTATTTATAATTACTTTCTATATTTTTTTAAAAGATTTATATTTAGTAGTTTAATATTTTCTAA